TTCATACAGAAAAGCACATTGGTCCATAGAAGTATTGTACTTTGCTCTATACAGTAAAATCATTGCATTCTCCTATACCATTTTGTAATCAAGGAATTTGTTGTTTTTCTCCATGTAGCTGCAAAAGTTTACACTGCAGTGACCCGGATTACAACTTTTGAGTTTGTGTCAGCATATAAGAACACTACTAGTCCACAATATATAGAATTTGCTGCAAACTTCACACGAGAGGTAAGCAATTTGTCTCATATATTCCAACTACAGTATGCAGTATATAACTCTGTGAAGTCCATTGAGCAAGACCTATTCCACATCTTTCTTCCACTCTTTCTAGATTGTAAAGAATCTTCCAGCAAACTTCCAGAGTCTCATTCAGTCAAAACAAATGATGGTGGTGATAAAGAGCATTCGCCAAGGGAGTGTGATTGTTGATTTCGACATTGTTACAAACTCCAATTTCTCGCTGGACACCACCGTCATTCAGAAAACTTTCATCGAAGCCCTTAACAGTTCGGCACTTGGAGTTGATCTTAACCAAACATCTGTGACAGGTATGTCTGCCTTCATTAACAATAGGTACCTGAGAAGTTAGTTACTCATTCAGTCCTACAATGTACTATTTGCAACGCATGTTTTAATGAGCAAAGAACAGGAGAAAAATAATATGTTAATTAGAAACAGTAACTGAAGTTTCTGATCTTCAACGCAAGGATGCAATAGGATATTTAACAGAGATACAGGAAACTATTCAATGACTCATTGACATTTTGCTGCAATGAATGCCATTAGATAGCCACGGCAATGAAATAATTCACAAATGTAGCCATCTATGTCTGTGGAAACATGGCTATTGCACTTTATTTCATTCTGTTCTCTATGGCAGGTTTGTTCTCTTACTTGACATTTGATGGGAACAGTCAGTTGATGGATTGTGAACACAGAACACAGAAGAAAAGCAGAATAAAGACTGTGATCTGATGCTGCTGTATGAAGTAATTGTTTTATCTGTTCATGATTGGCTCCTACTATATTTCAGAGGCGGATGCTTGTAAGGATGGCAGCAGTTCCTGCTCAGAGAACGCCACCTGCACTGCATACAATGGCACCTATACCTGTGCTTGCAAGTCAGGATTTACAGACCTAAGCCCCGATGTTCCTGGGAGGGACTGTAAAGGTAAGAAAGTACTTCTGGAACTGTTCATAATGGCAGCCTTATGCTTATGCTTATGAATGAACAGCAGTTCCTAATGATGTCTTTGCACATTGACAGAGAGGAAAGGAGCCTACAATATACATGGTACATGAATGCATGAACACAAAGTAGTTTAACATTAATAACATTCATTGGTACATATGAGTGTTAATTGAACAACCATGCCAATAATAATTGAATTTCTATTATTTTCTTATTACAGAAAAAAATCCCCTTTATGTATAGTACATTGACGTGAAACAAACAGTACTACAGCCTACGCATGCTGACGCAGCTACCCACCTGAAGTACTGTTAGAGTCCACCTCTCCTTTAATTATTATTCCTGATTGTGACATGACTCTGCCTAATTAGCATATTTTAAATGCCAATATCTTTGAATGTTGTATTTATGATTACTTGTATCTCTTCTCTGTTATGACAGTGAAAATCATAACAACCATGGCAGCACCAACAAATAGCACTTCTGTGTCCAATCCCACAAAACCTGCAACAGTTACAGTGACACCAGCAACTGTTACATCTTCTTTCAATCCCGCCATGACTACAGGTAAGAATTCCAAAACAAAAGTGGGAATTCAGAATTCAAATTCATGTCGGATATAAAAGGGTTTTCTTTGTTTATTGAAGGGCAAACCGTTGCCAGTTTTCTTTGCAAGCAGTTTGAAATGTCTTTTTCCACTCCAGGAACTGATAAGTGCCAGCTCAAATGCTCATCGCTTGCTCAGTGCATTGCTAATCCGGGTGGCTACAAATGCATTTGCTACGACGGCCTGATAGATCAGAATCCTTCAAATCCCGGACGACTGTGTCAAGGTAAAGAGTATAGAAAGTCAGATCAGATCAAAACAACTGATCTGTCTGTGCACAATCACTTCAGGATTTCTCACATTTCTGTGGTGTTTATACAACTGGAGGCTGGCACAGTGCTGTGAAGGCTAGTACTACAGCCTCATTGATCTAGGGCTCTGGGCTTGATTTTCACTTTGGGTGTCTGTCCGTGGGGAGTTTGCATGGTGTGTAATTACAGAAGGTGCATTGATGGGCAGGTCAGACTAAGTAAGACTAACTATTTTAATTGTCTCTCTGGGTTTTATCCCCATGAGGAAGGTAACTGAGCTTCCCAAATTGTTACCTGCCCATGAGGCTTGCATACCTATTTCCCTTGTGCCCAGTTCTGGTTATGGGACCTCATTGAACACAATTACAGCAGGAACTTCCCTGTTGCAGATCCTGTTGATTGCTTCAACGGGGGGAGTGATCTCTGTTCACTTGGAAATAACTGCCTGAAATCCAAATCAGTTTGCTCACGTAAGTTTGTTGTTCGTTCATTTTCAATATTGCGTAGCTTTACACATAAGGTAGAAAAGTACTGAATTTTATTTCTATAAAATATTTTTTATTTACTAGTAACTTTACATTACTCTAGTATAAAAGCGTGACTATTAACTTTCTGGGGTATACTGAATATACCTTCAAATCTGTTTTTTGAATTAATGAACTACTATTTGTTCCACAAATATTACTGCTCTAAGTAAAAACGTGTCATTTGTGTTATTGCTAATGTAATAGTTAATCAAATATATTTATAATATAATGGTCATATTATATGTTAGTACTAATGTTTTGTGTTGGGGTGGAAGATGGTGCAGAAGGGTCTTGTTTGTTAGCCAGCTGCTCCAGCTCAAACACTGGTTCTTCATTGTTTTCTTACAGGACAGAATGTGTACAAGTGCACAGTTGTTCTGCAGTCATGGAAATTCAATCCCGTTCTGTATAACCCAGAGAGTGATGCCTCGATAGCGCTTTCTTTAAACATCACCATTACAGTAAGGGTTAAAAAACATGAATACTGCTTTCAGTGAGACTTACATAAACTGTGTAGGGTTTTTTAAAAACATTTAAACACTTTAGATTTTACTTACTTCAATCAGCTATAAAATTGTGTTTTGAAAGAATCAAAGTAAACTGTGAGGATAGTGCATTTTGATGCTCTCTGTCTACTTGAAAAGACTTATATTCACACAATGACAGTAAAGATGAGATCTGCTTAAAGTCACAACCCCTGTGAATAGATCGTATCCAGGGCCTCACATGTTGCCAGGTTACTGGGGAGTTAATTGGTTAATTGGTAATGAATTGGGTTCCTGCAAGCAATTGGTTTATCGGTAATTAATTTAACATTTGTAATACATACATGTATAGCGGTCCTGTGTGAAGCAATTGCATATCCCCCTGCAAAACCTAAACAAGGATATACAGTACCTGTCAATGCTGGATTTAATCTACACAAACACCTTTATTAATGTTTTCCATTTTCTAAAACAATTCCAGTTTATTCTACCGTTCATATGGCAGACATCACCATTATGGAAGTCTGTTAGGAAAAAAAAATATTGTGTTTAAACAAGATGCAATAGTTATTGCATTTAAACGGTTATTTTGTGTAAACACAATACCTTTTTCTCAGTGGCGCCAATGGGCTTCCGTACACCAGAGCCTTTGGTGACTCATTTAGTTTTATATTGATGTTTTCACGAAAGTGTGAGCCGCTAATTAAGGTGCCTGTAAATATACATTTTTTTTTATATATTTTAGATTGTTAATAAGATGCGATCCATTCTGTCGGACAACACTTTCGACCTGACGATAGTCGGCTTCCAGAAGGGAAGTGTGAAGGTGTACCTCGTGTCCGGGTTCGACGGCAGAAACGGAAGTGACGACAGCACGTTTCAGACCGCTCTGCAGGATGTGGTTCAGCAGAACCTGGACAGCACAGCTAGTGTCGTTACAGAAAGTATGTGTAACACGAACCCATTTAAAGCTGTCTGTCTGGTTTTTTTTTTGCCCTTTTTTTTGCCATTCAACAAAGACTATTTTCATTTTTCTGGATTTCCTAGAACTCCGTCCTGTCCTATATATAGATACGTACTGTAGGTGGCGCCTTTCTTTTGTTTGGTACTTCTGCGTGTCCAACATCTTGCCCTGGTGGCTGGTGGAGACTGAACTCTGACTGACGCAGGAGCGCATGAAGACCAATCGGCTTTGCAGAACCAATAGACGATTTGAACTTGAGCTTGATCTTTATAGCCATATGTAACCGGTACATGTACTGGTACAATGGGATTCTTACTTACAGAAAGTCTCTCGATTGTAAAACAAGTGTAAAAACACAAAGTGCAAACAGTGCATCACGACAATAGACAAACAAACAGTAGACAATGTACAAGTAAACATGCAGACAGCTTGAATGTAAACAATACAGACGTGTAAACAATGACTGGAGATGTGCAATAAATAAGAAATCATAATGAGGTACTGTAGATGGTGATGGTGTAGGAGTGGTCCGAGGCGGATGGCTAAATGTGTTCGCCAAGATATTTTAAGGTCTCTTTAGTAAGATTGGACCCTCAGACGTATTCAACGTGCCCCCATAGTTTCTGTCTGATATTTACGCTTGTACTACTAGGGCATAGCAAAGCCCTGCTTGTTTTCTGATCGTGCACACTTGTGAGCAGGTGGTGTTGAGTACACTAACCTTTTGCTTGTTTTCCCGTTCTGTGCAGAAATCCCTTCAGCACCGGCAGACGGAGGAGGCTGGCGGGTTGCCGTTATCGTGATCGGAGTTCTCTTCGGCTTTATTTTGCTGGTTGGAGTGATCTTTGTCATATTCTTCACAGCGAGGCGCACAGTAAAGAAATGTGCCAAGTACCCTGTCCAGCAAGTAGGACGGATTAGAAACTTGGTCCCTTTTGGAAATAACGGGAGCTTTCTTTACCGGGATGTGTAACTGGTTTCTTATTCATGACATTTTTTTAAATCTCAGGGACGTAAACAAAAATATATATACATCTTCATAACTGTCTAAAACAGGTTCTTTTTAATTTTAATTAACGGACTGTGCAGGTTATTATTTTTAGAAAACAACATAAATCATATGTTACAGGTATTTTTATTGCTAGTCTTTAAATGTTTTATTATAATCTTTTAGGTAAAAGCTGTGATCACTCTAAACCCTATACGTTTTAAAGGCTCTTCATATATATAATACAGTAATCATTTTATATACAGTATATACATTTTTCCCCAGCATATGCAAGGATTAAGTGAATGATAAAGTATCATGGCTTTCTCTTGGCTATTGTTTAAGGAATTATTTTATTAAACGGATTGCACTACTTTTAGATGGCATGAAAAAGGCAATGATTAATCTACATCGATTTTACTGATCTGGAAAATGTGGTTTTCCTAACCATACGGATTTACAGCTGCAAGACAGAAACCACTTTTCAACAGTTTACCTACGTTTTTGAAAATAAGGGGAGAGATCTGAGATATGCACTTTATCAAATGGAAACAAATATATTTATCTATTGTATATGTGTATTTTTCTATTAAAAAGCAGTTGATTTATGTGCTTGCTTTTATATGACTTAAATTCAAGTTGAAAATGATAAGGCATTCCTGTGTGATATTTGCAAAGAACATTTAAATATTTGACCAAATGAGTTTTCATAATCAGGCTAGAGATATTAAACAAAGGATCACGTGGGTATTTGGGTCAGAGAAAGATTAGTGGCACTTATACTGTACTTTGATTATACTGTGTTTTAAACTACAATTTAACAGAGTCCTACCATATAAATAAAGCATATCAGCATTACAATAATATATTGAACTCCATGTAACAAATCCTGGGTTTCTACTGAAGTACCGTAATTACCGGCTGCAGAGCAAGCCGTTTCTGCAGTTAAACCGTCTGTGACAAACTCAGTGATTGTAAGATTAAGATTATTTTTTTTTAGGGTGTTGGGGGAAACCTAGCTAGAAAGGGAATGTTTTATTGTTGTTGTTGTTGTTGTTGTTGTTTGGCGCGTCGTACGCATGCAGTGTTGCTCAGGAGCGCATGAAGCTGAATGACTCTGACGTCAGGCGGTTTCTGCGCGCAGATCAGGAAGTCTGCGCGAGGGGGAGCCAAATCCGCCGACCCGAACAAACGCTTCATCAGATGGGCGACCAGTCGGCACCGCGGCACCATTGATCTCCTTTTTCTTTTATTATTATTTTTTTTTTCAAAGCCGTGGTTCAATAGAAGTTGATGGGCGTTCTTGAGAAGCGTGTTTCTGGGTGTTCTGCTTTAGGAGCTAGGGGCTCCTGTCCCTACGGTGTTAGCAGGCGAGTTATAAAGCTGAGCTCTGTATCCAATTAAGGGCAGAAAATAAAATCTTCGTGCCTCCTGGGTGATGTACTGTTTCGATTTTTCCTTTTAAATCCTTTATTTATTTCTTCAGGATGCTATTTACGCGCTTCATCCCTTGCTGCCTATTCTCTCGATGTGAACAAGTCGTTCTCTCATATTCTCTCGGCATAAACAACCCAAAACAATGTTGTTGCGCCTCTCTTCTCGGGAGTGGGTCTCAGAATTAACCCGTCGTGCAAAACCGCGTGGCTAAACTACCGCAACTGTATCCTGATGCTCCAGATGAGGTCAGAGTTTCGCTGCTGGTCGCGGGGCGTGAGGGTACCATCTGCGCTGATGGTACAGTGCGTCTCTCTGCCTCGCCTCCTCCTAAGACTCATCCATCCTCATCACCAGGGATGTGGCGCCGTGTTTCCAAGGCAACCGCTCTGGGCGGTGTACAGGAGAAGAGCGCAGCAGAGCAGCGCTCCGGTCTTATTTAATTATTCAGAGGAAAGGGGGTAGGCGATTCTGGCTTTGTGCTTCCAACACACACACGGTCGAAGCTGTCATTAAAAACACGTCTCTTCACGGCTCTTTCGGGCGTGTTCACTGTTGCTGGACCTCAGGCCGAAGAAAGGAACGAAGTTGTGAAAAGAAAGGATCATTTCGATCTAGTTACCTGTTCCCTGATTTGCAATACTGTATGTCTGTAAATTCTCAGGACAGTGTTAGGCACGAAAACTTTTGATTGCGTTTTTAATTACATTGGATTATCGCGCTTGAATTGAATTGATTTTAAAATGTAAAGCAATGAAATACGATCGTGCATATTTTTTTAAATCACACCTTTCTCGTGCACCTTAGGTTTTGCTTTGCATTTTCTTTTCTGCTCTGCTATCTGCCTGTCTTGAGCGCAATGTTGGTACGCAGTGGCCTCTACCTTAATCAGCAAACAGAGTGGCTGACCTATTCGCTCTTTAAGGTCCCAGCACAGAACGAATTGATTTCCACGTTTCGAAAGGCAGCCGAAGAAACTATCTTTGGCTATTCATTTAAAACCTCTAAGTGCGCTTTCCTCGGCTTCCTGGCCAGCTTGAAGAGGTGGTGTCGACATAATTGATCATCTTTGTAAGGAAGGAACACATCTCCTGTATTTAATGAGCTGCTCTGCTAAATAAATGGACCCCTCCTGTAATAGAACTCTGTTTACTAAATCATCGTTCTACTTTCTTTAAAAAAAAAAACCCCAAACACTTAGTGTCCATCATGCCCTTCCGTGCAAGAACCAGCTGAGATGTCTCGGAAATGTACGGCCTCGAACGCGTCTCATTCCGCTTTTCGTTTCGCAGCTCGTCTGTGTCGGCGAGCAGAGTGTGCGAGTGTGGATGTAACCCGGCGTGAAGTCCTCTCCGAGGGCCGTCTGCCAACGCTCCGCCGCGCTTTATTAATTAATGCGCTTTCTCGGTGATCAGCCGGTCTTCCAGTGGAAGAGTTCCTGCTCGCTCATTCCTGGCACAGGCTCAAAAGCAAGAGGCTGCGATCGGCTACTGCTCAGCTCGCCCAGGCTAAGAACATACTGTACTGTACTGAAGGTAGAAACCATTCAGTCCAAACTCGCGTGGTTGCTAGCCTGTACTGTACTTACTGCTTTCAAAAACATGGTCCTGCTAGTTTCATGTCACATCGCAGGGCTGGGTCTTCCTGCTGTGGATGGCTCATTGCGTACGAATACACGAATGACTCTCCAAAGATACATCTTCTGATCATCTGTGGAAGCAAATGTTGTAAGTTGCTTTGGATAAAGGCTTCAGCCAAATAAACGAGAAATGATTTTTGCAGAAACGATGATGATGGTGACTCTATTCTACAACCCTCTCGGTTACACCCTAGCTGCCTCAGTACATCTATAACCCATGTTACTGTAGCTCCACATAAGTGAATCAAACCTGATGGAGGCCAGTTTGTCTTGCCAGCTGTTATGCCGCCAGGTCACCCGCATTTTGAGAAATGGTTTTCAAAACAATGTACCAAAAAATGAATTTATCCTATGAAAGGACCACACACAGAGGGAAATATAGGGAAATAAATGCAAAATTATAAAAAAGGAAAAATAATATCAAACAGAAGAGACTTACATGCGTACTTAGGACATATTAAAGGAAAGAGTTCATGGACATGTACAGACCCTCAATTTGTGCTCATTCGGCTTTGGTCCGGCTTTGTGATTGTCCTACACTTTGTGGATATGGTTCAGAATAGACAGTGCGGTCCTCCAGTGTAATATCATTCACTGAACCAGTGCTCCCACATGGGGTTCGTGACGTGGCATGACGAGGGGGCGTGTCCAGCGCGGAGGCGGAGCCCTGGATGAAGGCTGACGCATTGCCCCAGCAGCCACAGCTGTCCTGGCTAATTAAGGACGAGGCGCAGCTGTGTGTGCCCTTTAAGAACACACTGCGCACCTCCCCTGAGAGACCAGCGGACTTCCATAAGGAGGGGGAGGACTTTTCGCCCTGTAGTCCCGGACGGGATGGTGATGCAAGCCGTATTTTTCCTTCATTTCCCCCCTCCTCCTGTTCTGCCCTCTCCACCAGGGCAGGATTAACCTTTACTCTCATGTTCCGCTGTGTACCACCACCACCGGGACAGGTTTTGATCTTTTTATTTTTGGCCTTTTCTTCCAGACTGGACTTTCCCTATCTGACAGGCTGCAGTCTGGATTCCGCTGTCTCGAGCGGGTCTTTCTCCCAGGATGGACCCCGTTTAAATTGGGGGGGGGCATTTGTTCTTGTTTCCTTCGGTTTTCGCTGGCCTCACTGGGTCTGCCCTCCCGCTCCTCAGATTGGGGCGTCAACCTTGACCGCTGTTCGCCGCGGCTCCTCCCACCTGCGCTGTGCTCAATGTTCTGCTCGCATGTTGCTTTGCTGCCGGCGGATTTCGGAAAATTCACATCGTTTAAGTTTTGTCATCACAAATCTCAAACCTTTCTCGTACATTTTAAGCAACACTAACAATCCACAGTGGGATCAGACTGAAAACAACAACAACAAAAAAAATGGTGTTGTCCCATAGAAAGACTTCGTCCTTGGTCATAACCAGTTGGCCCGTATTTTTGTAACCCACATAATTACATCTTTAATCATCGGTTTCCCAAGAGGAAATAACACTTTTGTTAGGTTTGACAAAGGTCTTGAATGAACCCGCTTCAGAGATCTGGGATTTAAGGAAGAATGCTGACTTCTCTGGAGCAGCTTTTAGTCATATTAACCTAACCTCAAGATGTTCAATATTTTATACAGATCTTCAAACACAGCAGTGCACTTTGAACACTAAATTATTCAGCATCTTTAGTTTGATGACTGGATCACTGACGTGAAGTGACAGTCACAGCCCCCTGTGTTTTTCTGTTCAGCCTGCCTGGTGTGTTTGTGCAGAGGCCTTCATTTGTCACTGCTGAGTGAGAGATGAACAAATAATACTCAGGAGGAATAATGAGGTATTCATATTTTCCCATTCAACATAATGACTCCCCATGGTGAATATCTTAACCACTCAGATGAGCAGATTAAAGGTAGAAAATCAATATTAATTTTATTTATAATGAGTCAAGATGTAGTTTGGTCTTAGAGCTGGCTGCTATGGTGTATGTGTGCTGTCTGAATCATTTCCTGAAGACAGTGAGTAAAGATATGGCTCAAGAATACAGGAAGGTTTCTTGTTTCGACTGCTGTTAGGATTCTACAGCCCGAACACGAGAGACCTACTGCAGGTGGCAGGTGCTTAAATTGAGCCACGTAGCACAAACGAACAACTTGCCAGAGAGAGAAAATGAAGGAGTACTGTGGGACCCAGATAGCAGAAGCAGGGCATAAAAATGACGATTTTCTTTCTCTGTGTGTGAAGCATTCTCTTCCCCACTACAGGCACAACAATGGCCACCTCTGATTCTGGAAGTGAGGGTGAGCTCTGACTGGTCAAAGTATCCTGGCCTTGTTGCACAATGGCTACCCCAGTGCTTCACCCTTTTGCACTCCTCACAAGAGCTGTGGTCACCCTCCAGAGAAGGTTGATGACCGGGCTCTCTCACTGGAGCTGGGGGGCTCACTCTGTGAATATGACAAGCAGAACGCTTCGGATGTCAAGCTATCCTTTCATTAGGAGGATGTACATTGGATATGCTTCAAAAAGGAACGACTCTTTGCTTAAGCCAGTTCTAACAGCGTGCGTTCTGTCTAACTAGCCAAATGTCTTAACGTCTGCTCTGCTCCCTGGCTCTCAACAACGTCTGCCTGAAACCTACAGGAACATTCAACCTGACCCCACAGAGGAGAGCCTGTGAGCAGGCTTTATTCTCCCCGTTAGCTGGAGGTGTACAGCAGGGACCTGGGTTGGTTCAGTTCCAGCAATGCCAGAGTGGGGGTGGCAGTGGGTGTAGGGTAGTGCTATGAGCAGAGAGGAAACAATGCAGACATGGATGAGCTGGAATCAAACACACAAAGAACTGCTGTGAATCCTCAGAACAGTTAACTACATCAGCCGGACATGACTGTCCTCTGGTTACCACTTAATCTTTGAAAGGAAAGGATTTTCCATTGGGCCCATCAATTTTTATGTGCTACAAATTGAGCATCCATTTGAGATTAATGCCCTTCATCCGTCAGTGGTGTAGGATGATGTTACACGACACACACACACACACACACACACACACACACACACACACACACACTCTTTCCGCTAGTAGAGAACTTCAAAAGCATGTAGAGCAGTGCTAGCCTCTCAGACAGGACCACCAGTCAACTGAAGGTTACCAAAAAAATGACTGTGGCAATTGAGATGTGAGGCTCCAAGAAAAGTGTGATTGTGTACTCCAGAACAGCTCCTCTGCTACCAGAATGAATTTCCTTTTTCCAAATAGCATTTGTTAGCACATATGAGGGCAGGGGTTCACTGACTGTCAACTATGTTGGAAGGACAGGAAAGAAGAGGACGTCATACAACTGGAGGACATGTGCTAGATTGATCTACTGATCAATAGAATGATACTGTACCATGTTTTATGTCTAAATAAGCCATCTAATCACAGACAAATAGTGTTCTGCACCGCAGTAAATTGATACAATCTATATATACAGTTTAGCATAAATACTGTTGTATAGGGTACAGACAAATCTGAATTCACTTTGTTTGCTAGTCATCTACCATCTTGGAATCCAGAATTATTAAATTACATACACTGCCTGACAGTTAACATATGTTCTGAATGAACAGAGCCCTTAGATATGGAGTAGAAAGGGTCTGGGGTCCCTCTAATGAGAAGCCACACTGACAGATGCACACCTGCCAGATCTCTATAGAACGTCATAACACGAGCTTAATGAAGCAGAGTCGACAGTCAGTCCAGCGCATATAATCTCTCTGAAAATTTAATATGCAGATTAAATATTAATATCTGATAGGAAACAGTCTCATTTCCATATTTTGCTGAAAGTCTTAAAGCCAGTATCGTACGGCTACACAGTAGAACCTCCTCCATGCGATTAAAAATCAAAGGCGCACATTGTGACCTTAACATGAATCTCTGCGTGTTGATGTTCACACTGGCAGATCTGCAGCAAGCTCGGAGAAAAGGCATATCTCATTTTTGCATTTAGATTTCTTTCTAAGAAGTCTAAATCCAGAAAAGGGCCGTTTAATTCGTTCCTCTAAAGGCCAGGCGAGACAAATTCTCCAAATGGCCCGTGAGACTTGGGGAGCTGAAAGTTTCTCGGTGCTCCTCTTCTGCAGGGAAGCTGGATCGAGCGTTGGGAGGGGAGACATCTCGGGGGGATGCTGTCAGAGCGGCCTGTCAAGAGTGTCATTTGAAAACCCCGGCTGCCTTGACGTGACTTTTACAATGAAAGAACCGTGTCCCAGAAACAACGAACGGCAGAACCAGGTTTCCTAGGGAACCGGGACTGGGAAGGGGAGAGTACTGAGAGTTAGACAAGAGGGGGAAGGCAGGAGTGCGTGTTACAGCTCTGTCAGTGCCACTGGTCTCGACGGTGGAGAAATGGGCTCCTGTTTCTCTGCAGGGAGGTCAGAAAGGCGTCTCTGTTGAAGACGGGAGGCTACTCTTCTCATCCATGTTTGGTTCTTCCCCGGAGGGGTATGTTAACTGTTCGGCAAAGCAAAACAACGCTTGGGCCCACCTTGATGACAGACAGAACATCCACATTCCCCAGGGCTTCCCCGGCTTTGCTAAAGATACCTATCACCCTGGTTTCTCACTTTTCTTCCTCTTCTTCCCTCTGGTGAGCATTACAGTAGCATACAGGCACACACGTCCAGACTCAGAGGCAGTTTCTTCCCTCAAGCTGTCAGATTACTGAACTCTACCCCCACCACTGGCTCACACTGATGGGTTTTTTTTTCCCCTCACACTGCTTGTCTGGCCTTTTTTTCTTAGGTTGTACAGTATGTTCTCTCACGTGTTGCTGCTGCCGCCGTTCTGTGTTTTTGGTGATGCCCTGAATGTCTTTGTATTGGAGCAAATCGGCATCTCATCGCCCCTGCGCACCTGACACGTGAACCCAACGGAATGGCTTTGTCGTGAGGGAGAGAGGGATGGTCCGAGCAAGCGTGGGGGTGGGGGAGAGGGAGGGTTAGACTGTACAGAGCAGTGTACCCCTGTGCACAGGGCCCCGAATCTGTCGGGCGAAAGACTCGGTACAACTGAGCGGTTAGGCTCTGCCTTGGAAAACAAGCCAGGGCAGAACAAAGGCGGCCAGACCTGCTTTGCTCTCTATGAACAGATGGTAGCGATGAGCCCAGGGTGAGGCCTTTGATTAATTAGCCTTTCGTTCTCTCAGCTTCAATTAAGCACGCCCTGCACCAGCACCTGAAACGGAGCTCGCCTTTCGTATACCTGACTTTTTTCCTTTTCCTGTTTCTTATAACAGGTTACTGAAAACAGGACTCGATCGATGTCTAGCTACCAGATGGTCTCAACGAGAATTAACCTCATCGTTTTGGGACACCCTCACACTCAGCAAAAATGATGAGGGGGGGTGTCAGGATTAAATCTAATTACAGCAGGAATTTAAATAATAATCCTTACACTTATACAGCGCTTTCCTAGACACTCCAGTCAAAGCTCTTTACAGGTAATGGGGACTCTTCTCTTCCACCAAACAGCAGCCCCACCTGGATGCTGGATACACAGACCATAATATGCACATACATAAGTAACAAATTGTTTTCCAAAAAGTGAGTCTCAACAGGACTAAATACTGTATCTGACACTTAAGAAATGCATAAGATATGGCGGCTGATTGAAACGTTTCTACATATATTTATCTTAATCTGTTTTAGGGTCTTTATTTCTGAGAAAAGGCAACGAACACAAACATCTTCAGAGTTTTATCAACCTTACTTTATTAGCACTTGAAGTAATGGCTGTACATTATTACTGATATAAAGAAGCACTTTGCGGTGAAGCATTTCTATATAATTCACAATAAAACACGCATATTCATTTTTTTTTAAATGCGTGGCATGTTATCAACTAAACATAGCACCTTTTTTATCGATCATACTGATTGCCAGTGCGGACGTCTCGGGAACACAGATTTCTCATGCGTATTTAAGAGATGTTTGATTCAGCACAAGATCGGTTATTTCACGTCAGGTGCAAAGCGCACGACTCCACTACCTCTTCGCGGTCTTGGTCTTTCTCCCTGTGGTTCCGGCTCTCCTCCAACGGCACCCTGGGAATGATCACCGGATCCACACACCTCAACCTTGGGTTCTCTAAAAAGCGACAGAGAGTTAAGTACAAAGAAGACGACATGCACGTTCAATCAGGAACGTGGCGTTCAGCACTCAGGTCAGCACTGAAAACCCTGTGACTTCTCAAACGCACAGTCTGAGCGTCTTAAACGTTTGCTGGCGTTACCAAAGTGGATGTCCGTTTTTCGTGTCTTGCGCATTTTTTCCGTACATTTCAACACTGTTTGAGTCGTTTAGACAGCTTTGCAAGAAAGAAAAGCAAATAAAAATACAGTAGCTGTAGCGCACAGTTCACCTTACCATCTTTCCGGGCTATCTTCCCTTATGACAATCACTCTCATTAAGGTTTAAAGTAAAAAAAAATCAATTTGTAGTCCCAAAATTAAGCAAAATATAAAAAAAAAAAACAAATCAGGTGCGAAACCTAATTAATTTAGGTTTCGGAAAGAGCTGTTATGTATATGTTTAATTTTGTTTCTAAAAACTTGCAAAATCTAACCGAAAAAGACCTTGAAAGTTTCAAAATAGACTAATGTGCTAGATTTGTTTATGTTTTGTTCATTTAAACTTATCGGGGGCGGGATATTACAAAAGTCACAGGGTGTTCAAGAATATTTTTCGAGTACATCCTGTAATTAAGATAAATGAAGCCGAACTTAATCTGAAATCATATCTGATTATAGATCCACTTACTTTGGACACAAATCCAAATAGATATCACGGAGATATAGTTAGCAAGATAACAAAAATGTCAAAATACAAAACAGCAAATTAAAATATCAGAGATACTGTAAATGACCACTTAATTAGTTCAGAGAGAGTAGGATTATCATAATTGTACAGTAGCCCATCACATTTGGAAATGCTGCGTTTTGTCACGTTTGGTTGAATTACTGTTCATGAAATGATTAGCATTACCAAACGTGACAGGTGCAACGGAGCCCATTTAAGATTTCAGCACCGTTTTTTAAAATGGCTAGGAAATAAAGTGATAGCTTTGATCTGTAATATTGCACATCTATACTTGTGGATTATGCTGCTGTGATTTCTGCTAGCCTTGTTTTACCACCACTTTTATAAATAGTCATCTGGTAGCTAAGAAATCAAAGGTATCAAAATAGTATATACTGTATATATCAAAATCTTCTCAGAGGAATGCTGCCAAAAACAACCAAGCACGCAAGCAATAAAAAAAACTTGTTGCACTCTACTGTTTTCCATATGGAAGAGAAACACACGAACAAATCTTCAAAGGTCACATCGCAATGTTATAGAAATGTATACTCTGTGAATGTCCATGTGGTTTTAGTTTGAGGAATACCTGTAGACTCTGTGGCATGCATTAAAAATATCCTTTCATATTAAATGAAAAGTGCAATTTGAGTAAAAAGGTGTGAATTAGGACTCACTCTATAATGGTTCTTAACTGTTTGTGTCATTTTGCTGGGCTGGTTCATGTCACCCGAAATGTTAAATGACTTAACCCAAAAAGCAAGATGGAGGCAAATGGAAAAACTCTGTTGTAACACATAACTTTTAGGGAATATAAAAGTGATTAAATACAACTGGAACCTCATCCCCAAAACAAAGAAAACTTCACTGTTATTAACAAAGTCAAAAACGTGCTTCATGAGTTCGGGCTTTTCCACACGTGTTGTATGTTTCACATTTTACAGTGCGGTTACCCATGGTGAGAGCTCTTTGAGAACTGCCTGTTCTTCACCTGATTCCCATCTGAATCTGATAAAACCTGGTCATCATCTGAGGTTTCTGTTCTACCTAATATAATGCAATACAAGGCTCCCGATTAATTAATAGGCTTTTAAAGACAAAGCATGAGCTGTATTTTTCTGGAATAAAATCCTATACATCCTTCAAAACAAAAACATATTGTGATGTACACCAGTGAAATCCTGAAATATATTTGATAGGTTGCAAAATATATTTCTCAGATCTTACTGTGACAGATTACAATATGCAGCACCATTAAAGGATGTTTGAACTTATGCCAGAATGCATTCATTTTGTTTTGTGAAAAAGACTAAAAATACAATACTAAATTTGGCTATCGTTGTTTGACACACCGCCTTCTCTTCCATGTGGATTCTTGGACAACAACAGCAGTTTGCGCAGTTTCCAACCCAATTCCCTTGAATATGGCATCTCTGATGCAATGCCCTGTATTAATAAAAGAATCGACACACTTTTGTTCTGCTTTTGCATTTATTAATAGTTTCAATAAATAAGAGCAGGCAGAGAACACACAAGCACATCACAATCAGGTATTTTGCAGTACATGACTTTTTCCGTTTTGTATCTTTCTCATACGGACAGCATGAATGAGAGATAGCACCAAGTGTGGTGTGCTCAGCACATTACATGGACAATCTGTGATAAGCAACAAGCCCACAGCTGCAAAATGTTAGTCAGGCGGCTCTCACCCTCCTGAGATATGGTAACTTCCACACCGATTTCATTGTGGCTGTAAGGACTCACAGACAAATGAGATGAACTGCAGCTCTCAAGCATGCGAGTCTAACAAAAGATTTCATGTTAAAGACGAGGATCATCCCTTATAACAGTACCCTGAAGGTTACTATAGAAATGGCCCAGTTTTCTACAGAATGGTGTCTATGGCTAACTGGGGCGGTTTTATACAAACCCACAGGTCATCTGTGGGTTATTTTCATGATGGATTAAATGCCACGCAGATCTCCTACAATACAATTGTGCCTTAACCTTCCCAGTCACAGCTGCTGCTGGAGACAATTTAAGTGCGTTAGAGCATCTCTGTTACACTTCACACTCGTCTCCCACAATTTGCTCCCAACTCTAAAACCTCTGTGACGCTGTCAAGCCCAGCAGCAGTCTATTTGAGCAGGCATCTGCTTCAGTGCATCGGGAATGGTGGCCTGATGAAAGCATTTCTTAGCCTAGATTCCTCCACAGCACACTGAACTGACCACAGCATTGTCTCTTGTACAACCCTGTTTTCACAGCTCTGGGCCACTGGATGATGAGCTGGAGGCCTGTCTGATTGGTAATGAATGGCATGAAGGTCCATAGAGGCAGATGTGTTAGCATGGGGGTCAGCAATTGTAATTCCATTTTGCTTGGTCTAAGATGTCGAGCAAAAACAGTTAAGAAATATATCAGTACCCTATAGAAGCTAAATGTTCACCATTGCGTTGTTCAAATATTGGCTACACACGATAGGATGGACAAATTCACCCAGTTGAAAGAGTAACTTAGAAACCTGGGCCTTTGCAAGGCTGGTTAAGTATCAAGAGAGGAAAGAACAAATACACACATTCGGAGCACTAATAGAATCGCTATCACTTTTAAAGGGATACTTTTTTGTTTCAGCATTGACTATTGGCAGATGTACAATTATAAATATATCCCTTTTCTGTGAAAAGAAACTTTTCCCTGAATGAACGTTCGGTGGAATTTAACAGTGCAGAGAATCGGTTCCCAAATGCCAGTGTCTGTCAGTACATGCGTGAAGCAGCAAGGACCTCCTAGCTGCCTTAGAAGCAGAAACAACGAGCAGGTCATCATACAAAGGCCGATAATTACAGAAAAGGGGATTCGGCTCCTCACTGCACCACAGGGCCATTTTAATATGTTCCGAGGTCAAGAATAATTATTCATTATTTGCACAAAACAAAACTGACCACTCAGGCCTGCTCACTGTTTTGTGCTGGGTGGTGGTCACTCAGGTATTTCACAAACGCGATGTCCAGCAGTGTCTTTCCCATCTTTCCGAGTGGGAGTGCCGACTGCTGGTTCAGCCCCTAGGCAGGCTCGGGAGCTCTTAGGGTCTAGTTCTTCACAAGCCACTGGCTGCTGAGGATCTGCTTTCTTTTCTGTCCTCCTTTTATGTGTGTTACCTTGCGTGTGACACGCGTGTTAACTGGAAGCCACTCTGGTCCTAGTCTCCTCTTCTTTCAACCCGGGTTCGAACTCAAGTGCATGTCGGCTCCCGCTAAAATAAAAGATGTTATGTATTTAACTGAAAGCTGCTTGGATACTTAGGAACTGGAGAGCCGTGTTGCGAACGTTGTGTATGACGTCTTTCTCCTTTGGATTGTGAATAGTGTTCATGTCCCCACTGGTCCCCATCATGCAGAGATTGTTTTGTTTAGACAGTCTCTTTGGTTTGCGCGAGTTGGACCTGTCCCAGAGGTGGAGGCTGCATTTCACCAGTATCTCTCCTTTTACTGAAGAATGTCTAGCAGATGGACAGAGAGTTTCAATGGAAGAGCCACTGAAATGCCTGTCAAGGTTTGGCCTTTTATTTGTCCAAAAGCTTTAAGTACAGAACATGATGATACTGTGCACTTATTATGTTTAGTAGTCTTATAGTGTTCTGCCTTTTTGTAGTAGAAATCAGACTACTTTTCATAAACTATGATACTAACCTAGCATTTCCTTCATGTTATTATTATAGCTACAGACACTCTTCAAAAAGCAGAGCCTTCCACAGCAATGCCCAGAGGAAATCCTCCCATGTGGTAACAGGTTATCATATTACAGTACGTCCGCTGGTTTCTTAGCAACCAGATTGGCGGAACCAGATATCACCCATTAACTCTAATCCTTAGGTGACCTGCCATATAATGCAATATATTCAAATCCAGAAACCAGAGGCAACTAAAATATCCTTCTTTCTGGGATAAAGTCATGCTGGTGCTAAGGAGTAGAGAAAGCCATGTATGTTTTTTTAATTCTGTTTGAAGGGAAAGGGGCAAAGCTACTGTAGCTGAGATGAAGTGCTTTGGGTGAGTGCTATGGGACAGGGAGACACATCTTTTTGCACACACTGTTCTAGAAATTGAGTTCTAGAAATCAATGAGGCCTGCCCTTATGGGGGAAGACATCAACGTCAATGCCAAAGCCTTTGAAGGACCATTACATCTCTTCTGAAGCTTGACTAGCGTTTCATCAGCATGTAATGGAGCACTCAGCTCGCAAACATACAGTATACAGGTTGCTCCCTGTTCCTAAAACATCACGCAAGTGCTTTTACCAATCCACGTGTCTTGGTGCCACAGTAAAAACCAATGTTATCGTGAGGGAAGATGTGAAACAGTAAATGTGAAATACATCTGTACGCAGCTGTCTAATAGAAATGCATGCATCCCGTCAGGCTGAAAGACAGGAGCACCAGGGAAAGTGTCCCAGAATGAACAGCTTTTGTTAAGTCATGGTCTTCGGGTTTTTGATCAGCCCTTGTCTTCTCTGTTGAGGCATTCAGGTGTCTATAGGATATGAGAAAGCGGCAGGGACTGAGACCATGGGCGCTAACATTACATTGCCACAGGTCAGTAAGATCTCAAATAACGCAGCACTCAAGCACTTTGCCTCTTTTCGGTGTCAATGGAACGTGAACCTCTTAATGCTCAGATCTTCATTTTTATAGAGTACCTATTTTCCTTTCACAGGAAGCTGTTGGTTGTGTTTCCTGTCCAGGGTCTTTGATGAGCCACGCCCCAGTCATCTCTGCTGCTGCAGCGGCTTGCATGCAGAGGCTGTCTCACAGCAAAGCAGCCACTGGCTGACAAGGCAGCGGGTAGCCATGGAAACGGGAGAATGGAACCAGGTATGAATGGATGGAGTTCAGTGCTTCATCACTTATGGCATCTGATGTAAGCCGGCCATGGCAAAGCAGCATGTAATGGCAAACCCTGGCATTTACTGTAACAGAACTGACTCGGTTTTCAGAACACAGAAACGGAAAGGAGAGAGAAAGGGCAAGGGAGGTGAGAACCCTCTAACTAATTTTTGCAGCCTTTTTTCCCCTCCCCCCAAAGAAAAGTAAAAGTGCAATGATTTTTACTCTTTAGCCTCAGCCAGTTTGTTGTTGATCTCTTTACTTTTCTCCTTGTCCCCCTCCTCTGGCTTGGACTCTGCGGTGTTCTCCTGCTCTTTCTTCTTGGTGCTGCGGCCCGAGCTGATCTGCTTCTCTTTGGCCTTTTTCACGGGCTTGCTATGGCTTGCTGTGGTCTTTTTTGGTTTGGAACGTGGCACGCTAGGCTTCTCCACCTGGAGGGGCAAAAGGAGATCCTTTTAAGTCTCTGATTCTGTATGTGCTGCCCTGGAACCTCAGGAGACAGCATGAACCACTCTACTGCGTGACAGGCACGCAGGTTTGCACCTGGACTGAACTGTTAGAGCATCAGAACCTTTGAACTGTTAGAATCGGAGGTGTGGATGAACCCCAGAATTGAAGGTGAAACCTGCTGGAAGTCTCTTCTTAAATGTCAAAGGTTATCATGTACTTAATTTTGCTGCTTACATTGAATTGACATTTCTTTAGTATCTTTAGTTTGTTTAGAGCTGAATAAACTTCTCTCCTCTCATTTTCTATTTTATTCAATATTCACTGTTTAGCCTCTCAGAATCAGAATGTATTTATTCAGGACATGAATCATAAACAGGACCAGTTCGGATGTGGAACCACGGCGCTGGAGCTCTGCAGCAGGCTACTGGCATGTCATGGCATGTATCTTTGACCCTCAGTCTCATTCACTGCTAGTACCTGGTCTGTGGCTTACAGTACAGCACTGTGGATGTCTGTCAGGTCCAGCACTCACACACACCACCAGTGATTGTGCATCCTTTCTGCCTGGGAACTGATAACAACCTTCAGCTGGGACTATGGAGGTAATGTCTCTCGCACTGAATCTGCCAGTAAATGGAAAAGACCCTCCTGTGATACCAGGGATTTGCCATAGGGGTTACAGTAGAATGTTCCAGGATGGTCCACTCCATACCAAAGAAAAAGGAAAGCACAATCTTATTCTACAGTGGATCTAGAATACAGCTCCTGTCCCACTTGGCAGAGACCACTAAGAGTGAGAAAGAGGGGCTCTGTGAACACACGACACACAGGCACAACAACACTCTCTTGTGAGTTTAAAGGGTGCGTTTCCAGACATGGAATTAATTTTATGTAAGGCAAAAGAAGGGCAGTTGTGGGTGCAGTGAAAGGGACATGAATGTTAGCAGAGGAAGAAATCAGGACATCCGACACTAGGAACAGCTGTGTAGAACTGAAGCAAATGGCTGGGCTACAGCTACCTGGCCAATAACACTGCGGTCAATCATCGCCACTTTTAGTGGAACAGCCGTGTTCCATGGATTGGACACACTGAGTACCTCGTTCGTACTGGAGGGCGTTGATCTCTTTCAAACCCTGGCAAGTCAGTCCTGTCGGTCCTGTTCATTCTTGTTTTCAGTCCAGGGTTCATTTTGCCAACCAAATCGCTAAAGCTGAAGTATTGTTGGTCAGTGGGTAATAGGTTTATCTACATATATTCACACAGTATTACCCTGCAATACTATATCAGAGTGAGTAAGCATAAGAATCCCTGCCCTGACACAGTGCTGGATCAGCATTTCTGAAACCCACATTCAGCAACATCTAGAACACTGCAGAATACTGCAGAACAACTGGCTAACTGTCTAATGATCTGTGTATTGCAGAGTCCAGCTAGATTATAACTCAAGAGATCTAAGGAACTCGGGATGTTTTTCTAAAAAAATATCCTTTTCTGGTTGACTTTGTGGTGGTACCATGATGGTGATGGACAACAAGGCTTTCTGTGTCATCCTCAAAAATACAGGCTAACCATCAAAAGATACTGCACACATAGAACTCATTTATTATCAGGAAAATGGCTGTCTTTTTTAAGCTGCTGCACTGACATTTTATTGAACAGACATGAGATGTAAATTCATTATGCTGATAAGCATAATGGGGTGATCGACAGGGGGTCTACTGTGACCTGACACAGGCTATGAGTGTGTGTATAGCCTCTGCTGGAAGCAGTGCAAGCTGTGCAAGTGTGACGCATGCTTTGCACCTGTTTACAGATGCCCCACCGCCACTACACCTGATCCCAAGCTCTCTTAATAATGAGGTCTTCTGGTGGGTTTCGCATCCAGTCAAACTTATTCATCTGCATGATAGTCAGTCTTGAATGAACAGTGACTGCGAAAATCAAAATCTTTTCCACTTTATTTTTCCAAAAAGACACATGCATAAAAAGAGTCTGAACATTTAATATAATGTGGTATTTAATCTCTGCATAAGAATGGCTAATTTACAGCAAGTCTGTGTTCTGGTCAGCTTTAGTTTAAGCAGTTAAATCTGATAGTTAGATGTGATGGATTACTATAGCTACTACAACACTTCATGTATATATTGATATATAGTATATACTGTATATATAGCAGTGTATATATTGGCTGATCAGGTCTACTTTACCTTGAGTTGTTGTGCTCAAGTTTGTGAGTAGTCTCATCAGACTCAATTAAATATTGCTAAAGGTTTCTACTCAGACAGTTGAAGCTGTAGAAATAAATCTGTTAAAATAGCAGAATACATTAGTGGAGGCTTTGAGTAAATTTTTGGTGCTCATAACATACTGTACGTAATACTGTACGTAGTAACCTTTGATTGCATTTTGGATGTCTCAGACTTTTGCACAACAGTGTAGATTTGTATAGTATATAAGTAAATTGTATTAGCTGCTTTATGCAAAACCTACAGTATTCAAAGAGCATTGCATTAGCTGCTATTATGCAACCCCTACTATATATTTAAAGATGATATACTGTAGCAGCACCTTTTGTTGCACTGAAAGAAAGGGATACAAGGAAGCAATCCTGATTGATCAAAGGGCAGGAAGGGAAAACATCCAGACCCAGATGGCAAGGACAGACAGCAGAGGGGTAGTGATTGCTGCAGGGTTTATATTAGCATCAGGTGCTTTGATCTGTTTTTTAAGCCCCCGCTGAACTGTCCTCCACAGATGTGCAAGAAAAGAGTCTACGGGGTCTACTGGGGAGAGCAGATAACAAAGGCCCCGTAGCACGCCGAGTTCATTAGCGAAGGGAATGGTCAGAGATCTGACTTACCCAGCTTCGTCTTAGCTATTCATCCTGCCCAGCTCGCAGGGCGTAAGGCAGAGGACACAGCAGGACTGATAGCTGCTTAGACATGCTTGTCCTCCGGCTAGGTTTGAAGTAGGCAGGGTGCTGGGCCACCCTCAGGAAAGCGCTCTCACCTTGGGAGATTCTTTGCTGGGCTCACTGTACAGACTGCGTATCCTCCTGCGCTCCAGGACTTTGTTGTCCGCCGGCACGCGCTTGCCTTGCTCACCCCTGAAGGTGGCGCTGTAGCTGGTCTCCAGACTGGCCCTCTTGTCTGGGGGCTGATACTGAGCCCTGGCCTTATGAAGCTTCACCGGCTTCACGTCCGCGTAGGCTTTGAACTCGTTCCTGCCAGAGGACAACCAGAGGGAACACTGTAAGCAGCTCTTGGATACACGTGCTCTGCTCGCTCTTTCTCTGTAACCAGGAAAGATGGATTTGTGAACTGGGGGTCTCTGCAGTTTTCTAAGACATACCTTGAGGCATCTTTGGTATTTAGCGCCGTACCGAGCAGGTAGCAGCCCCTATTTCATTAAGTGTCCCTTTTAATTAAGTGATGAAGCCTTTGGCAAAAACCTGTGAAGCACGAACTGTATTGCAATATTCTGAAAAAAAGTCTCAACTTGAATTTGTAAAGTGATTTTTACAAGGTATGAATGCAACTGCTCAAAGAGTGTGAGCTGAACCATTCAGATGACAGGCAATCAAAGCAAAATGCCCTCTTGTACATGTGCTTGCAAAGTGCATTTTAAAAGGCTTGAAGAATGTCTTTCACACTTCCCAGATAATTCAGATTTTTGTCTCTTATGGATTTTAGTGAACATCGAACCTGCTGTTAAATATTTACCTTGGACAACACGGCCAGAGCAGAGATCCCCTCTGAAACACTCCAGATGGAACCATAATGCCCTTGCAACCGCATGGGAATGTTTATTTATATTAGAGTTCTCAAAGGGTTAGGAAAATCTTGCGTTCAGTCTGCTGATTTAGTACTGAAGTAGGCGACTATGAGAATTGACCTGGTAAAGCTATAGGCGAAAGCCCAACCACAGGCAGGACAAAATCAATACACCGAAACCTACAGCTAAGATATTTGTCTGTTGGTCACGATTACAGTAAACCGAGACGAAAGTAAAAAAAGAGAAGAAATGGAAATCAATATTCCTCACATGTATATGTCCTTGTTTTCCTGTTATAGCAGTACAATCTAGCTACACTAGAATTGTTTCTATACTAGGTATCCTGTCATCATGTGATTGAAGTCTGGGCATTTTATTCCTGCAAAATCCTCACATTGTTTTGGTATTGGAATGAGAAATCGGATTCCATGCAAAACAGAAGAGCTGTTACAGCATCACATCCCTGGTCTTCGTCTTTAATGCTTTCCCAAGTATTCCGGTGTAATGTGCAAATACAGAATGAGCTACAGTATGTGTACTCCATCAGATAAAGAGTAGTCTCTTTAATAATTCACCAGATATGAGACATGGGAGCATGAAGATCATGAATTGAGCTGTGGTTGATAGTTTCCATGGAATTTAAGCTTCTTAATATGAGATAACTGTACTGTATATGCAATCTTCATTTATCATGCATCTGAGTTGCAGTATTGTGTTTCTGCAGGTCATTCCTTTCCTGTGAAGGTTCTCACAGTGATGAATTCTCAGGGTGCACAGAATTGTAGTATGGGCCGCAACTGATCACATGACAGTCCCAAAAAAGTCCCAAAACATTTAAAAAACACTTAATCAGAATCAAGAGAGTAATTGTTAATACTGTCACGGAACAAAGCAAAAACATTACTAGCACAATACACAAGAGCTGTCAAAAAACACTCTTGCATGACGTTTTAGAGCCTTGTAAGACGCTAAAGCAGGCTTGCATCACCATCAATTCACAATGTCCCCTGGCTGACACTGGTATATTAATTTCTCTCACAGTTTTCTTGCCTTCTCCGTATAACTATAAAAGGAAAAGACAGACATGTTAATTGTAACTGCAGCTGTTACCAGCTCATTGAAAACCTGAGCATGATTTCCTTTCTGTCAAATTTCATCTCACTTTTGAAAGGCATGCGGTCAGTTTTCACAAGCAGAAAAAAATGGCAAAAACAACATAACGTCATATCCCTTAATATTTTCAACATCGAGAGCAATTAAACGTTAGAAATATAGCTAGAGTATGTATGAGGACATGGTGACCTAAAGCAGATTCAGCCTTCTTCAACAATCAGCACGAAGAAGCCTTGGTACAGAATGTACCAAGTTCTCTCTTCTCTTTTCAGCAGGGAATAAACCTATTCCTTGTTCCTTTGCAGACTACGCATGCTGACGCAGCTACCCACCTGAACTGCTTTGGTACAGTATGTACTGTACTGCCACCTGCCTAAGATTTTTCAGTTTGTCACGATTGGTCCAACTCACTGTAGCCTGTGTGTGAGACATGCCCTGCAAGCCACACTACAGCTTTTCTTGTGCTAATTGATTTAGATCTTCTTACCAGAGCAACTGCATGAATATTATGCAATGCAGTACTAATATAATCATTTATATTACTGCCATTAAGATGTGTCATCAACCTTTCACAGACCGATAAAAGACAAAAGCAATATTTGTCACCGTGAAAGCAAGATGCCCTTTTGAAGGTCAGGAGGCTGAATGATACTGTAGCAGTAGCCTGCCTCATTTCTGTGGGATCTAGTTGAGCGTGTGTGCAAATAAACAACACTGCTACAGACCTCTGTTACGTTAAATAATCTCCCACTGGCTTTGCTTTCTGTGATGGTCACTTTATAATTAGTACCGCTGCTAGCTTCTTCAACTGGAAAAAAAGCTACTGTATGCAATAGCAGGCAAGGATTTCACAGGAAGGTTATTGCTGCAATCACAGAGGAGCGACAAGAAGAGGTAAGACGCTCTCCAGCTTCACTCACTGTACTGTACAAGCATGAATATGGCGCATTGCTATGAAGTCCCACTGACGTGCTGAGAGAATTCCATCCCAAAAGTAAAGTTACTGGGAAAAGTGCGAAGAGGTCAATATGCAGAGGTAGTTATAAAGGATCCCAAGTCACTCCAATGGGCTTCGGGAATAACAGTGAAAGACAAATCAGAGGACACCCGTGGAAACTCCAGTACATAGAAGTGTAAGGAGATCCTTGAGTCAACTAGCTACGAACTACCAAATGGCTTTGGGGATAAATGGCCTTGTCTCATTTGGAACTGAACTAATCTTGTAACGCTGTATTTTTGTCTACCATTTTTAACGTAGCCCTAATAAACTCCATACATAAAATAAATGAGATATTTATATGTATCAGGTAATTTAAGTAACACATTTAAGTACCAAGATAAGGATACAATGGGAATAAATAAATTCAGAAGCATAGCAAATAAAGAAGTGGTCATACATTCCAAAATACAGTAGAACCTACAGCTTTATTGTGGCTAGCACTTTTATCTACTTCTCATTTATTAGAACTGTTTTATTCTTGCAAGCGATGCCAGAGTACATCATTTACGCAACTAAAGGGGAGAGCAGTGCTTAAGACAAACTGGATGGAGAACAACCACAGACATAACCGTAAATGAAAAGAACAAATCAAATAATTTACTCTGGGAATGCTTCTGTTTTCTTCACAGGCCTTCGCATAGGACCAGGCTAGTACAAAATCAGACGCTGAAAGGTCATATTTTATTTTACAGCCAGGCAGAATAAACAGAGAAGAGTGTCGGAGAGACTCATGGAGGAGATTAGGTATTTACTTATCCCAGGTCAGAGTTTACAGATGGGACTGGGTTCCATATTCAAAATTCTAACACCAATCTGAATCTGTGAATCAGTGTATCCCAACAACAGGGCACACAAGACTACCACAGACCTGTCCAGTAACAAAAGCCTAGTTTCTGTTGTAGAGAAAGGACTCTCCTTTCTGCTATTGATTTTTTCTCCTCTGCTGCTCATATTAATAGGATGCCATGCTAGGCTTAATCAATACCGATGTCCAGTTTCACTAGCACAGCAAAAAAATACAAAGCTATAACTTGCCATTACATGGATAGCATACATATATAGACATGTATAGTCTAGGTCAATGGCATTGAGGGAGCACTGGTCAGCGTTCTGGACTGTAGAAGATCCTGCGTTTGAATCCTGGCTGAGACAGTGTTGTTATAGCCTTGAATATGGTACTTTGCCCCACATTGTGCCAATGTAAACTAACAAGCTGTATAAATTGGTGCAAATGCAGATTGGCTTGAAAAAAAGGCTTCTGCCATGTTAATTGGTAAAATATCAATTTTTAAAGTACTCTCTGTGTGCCTAAATTCTAAGGGGTAGGAAGTGCATTCTTCAGAGGTCAATGTAAAATATTTAGACAGGTTTATGTGGATGTCTATGACTGGTTCTGTTTTTTTTTATATGGCATGGATGCAATATAGTGGTAACTGAAGTTAATATTCTTAAATTCAATATATGTATCACAGACACGATCATCCCAATCAGTATCCAATGAAATGAGGAAAGTGGTTATTCTCAACGCTTGTGGGCCATTATAACATATTTACATGTTGTACTTTACAACCCCAGAAAAACAAACAGCTACAGTAGAGGCGATCAAGAGTCTTGCGAAATGGCACCTACTGTATCACTAGACATTTAGTGAAATATTCCAAGGCTAAAGATTGATAAAAAAAAACATTCAACGCTCAATTACTTTAACGTTTTGTATTGACATACAGTAGTGATGGCCTTTCTGTCTTTCTGTTGTTTAGCCCGCTTTTTTCCATTCAAGAAGTTACCAGAGCGTGAACAGGACCCTGGGTATTTTGCTCATCATCAAACGCTGCGTCATCTCTCAGCCCTGCAGATGAATCCCATGTTTTTAAATCTCTCAGAAACATTATCTCCAGATAACAGGAATGGCAACTGATTGACCTAAGATCACTGACAAACACGTAGAAAGGATATGATGTTCTCAACAGATATTTATTTGGTACTTGTACGGGTAAATGGAAAACCGACGTTCTCAGTGTTAAGGAGAACAGGCGACGGTACGTAAACCTACAGTAAGTTAGATACATCCTAAAGCTCTCTCTCTTCACAGCACAGAGATAATGGCGAAGGGCTTTTTCAGCATGACGCTGCACAAGCACTAAGTAAAACGAAGCACATGGCCAAACTGCTGCACAGCTGATCACAGTGGTTTTTTGTCACTTAAATATAATAGAGCTTTAAAATGAGGGTTTGCCTTACTCTCAAAATGTCGGGATAAGAGCTCATCTAGCTGATGCTGTGAAACTCCCTTTGTGCACTGACAACATTATGCTCTGTCTTCATATCAGTGCCCCGACTGACGGTGCCCATGAGACCGCATCAGTCTATACCCCCCGACACAATCACAAAGACAATTAAAGGCCTATATTTTCATCGAGCTGGTAGATCTGAATGCAGCAACGAGAGCAGGAGAATCAATTTATTGGATTAATCTCCCATCTTCTATTCCCTAGACATCCGTTCTCTCTTGCCGCCTCTTGAATCGTTTGCTGTGCTTAAGTGAGCCTCTCAGCCCTGAGGCTACAGCCTGGCTACTCTGGGGGGGCTTTTTTTCCAGGAACTTTTTCTGCCTTTTCTGATCTGACGCTGTGTTTGATCACAGCTCGCAAAAACAAAATAAAAAAAGAAATAAAGATCCGGGAACACGGCTGTAGGCAATGCTGGAACCCCAATAAAGGTTCAGCACTCATCATCGGCTGTGGCAAGCTACCCTGTATCTATCAAATTAGCAATGCAGATCACGGGGTGGATAATTAACCCCTGCAACATGCATTACGGAGTGTCCTTAATGAAAAAAGACCAGGCATTTTCATCCTTGCACATAATTAGAAGGACTCCGCCTGGCCTCTGTGGTTCCATCTTTCTCTAAAGCAAGTGTGGTTTCTGCTTGCTCTGCAGTAAGCCTGTGGAATGAAAGAATTATAATATGCCTGCACTGTCCCAGTTCAGGCTTGATATCCAGCTTACTACAGTAATGCTACTGTAGATGTGACAGGAATGGAACCAATATCTTTCCCCATGTACTGTTTGTAGACCCACACCATCTAGGGTGCACTGTGCAGAGAATAGGACTTCAGACTTTCCCAGGTTACAGTTTTGTAAGCTGTGCTGTAATGTTACAAACGTGCAGAAAAGACATTTGTCCTCAGCCCCAGCAGTGGGGAGGAGGGGTCAAAGGGTATTACTGCTGATTTCTTTCATTTCTAAACTCCAAAACAGAAGTGCAAGCTCGTGAAAAAGCTTTCCTTCAGCCCCTTAAAAGAATTTTTATACTATATCCAAAATTTCAAGAGCAGCTGTGAATTTTTCTATGCCTGCATCAGAAACCTGAAATGATATCACCCCGAGACACACATTACTCCTGCAGAGGGAATGAACTCTCCATTCAACTACAAGCCATAATAGGGGAAATAAACAGATGTGCTGATGGAAAGGTATTTCAAGACCCTGTGGAGCGACAGACTTTTGGTTTGGAGGATCAAAAGAAGTGCAGGATCTATGAAATGAAAGAAAATCCTTTAGTGAATATTCGAAACTAGCAACACAACGCTAGAGAGTCTGCCGCCTCTATCAAATAACTCTAGAAATCTATCCACTAAGTACCCTAAATCCCTTCTGACAGACATGGTTACAAGATGTGATGAAGTTAACTGTTCAGTTCCTGAAGGTACCAAAGCTTCACAGGTTCACAAACACGACAATTCACTTTACATTCACGATGATGAGGCATTTTCTTTGATCGCATTCAAGGATGACAAAACACCTGACAATAATGCTCCTGTTACTGTATTTTGGGTCTCACAAGCGTACCACGATCTAGGCCTGGAAAACAACGAAGGAAAATCAACAGAGGGGAAAATGTAATGAGACAACGAGACCAGAGCTGCTGCACATCCATGGCAAGCTTTAGGAAAATTCATTTTCCAGTGAATATGAGTGACAAATGAGGCAGAGCATCAGTGCATTCACTGAGGCACAAGCCTCACGCTCAGTGATGAGAAGCCAGGCAGCGTTTAGGGTCCTCACTACTATTCCCTAACAGGCAGAGTCAGAGCCATTCCAGTTCACACAGTACAGTAAAACACAATGAGACCTCGAGCTCAGGCTAGCTCACTCTGCAACATAACTGCGGGGTATGGTGAGGAGAGACACTGGGATACTGGCCTTTTGATGTCAAACCCATTTATCTTACAAAATGTAAACATGCACCAGGTAAAAAATCCTACAATGTATGGAAAGCAACATCATTAGCTCACTGATACAGCTTTAATCTGCAAGATAAAGAGCCAAAAAGCAAAACATCCGATGTTCCAGACTGCTTTACTAACCAGAGGACAGTGTCTCCAGCAAACACTTTATAATATACTGTAATTCTTCAGATGTAAACAAGTGGCCCTCACAGCTCATTCTAAAATAGAATCAATGTTCGCTATGTGCGGAAGAGCAGGCTTTGTACTCAGATTTAGAGCTAAATAGATCTTCTAAGATAATCTACAGTACAAGGATCATCAGAAAAATAATTGGGTAACATGGAGAATGAGCCATTATGACAAAGAGGACTTTTACAATGTAAAGTTGCCCATTCACAGTACAGTAGAATATGAACGAAATGTTCTAAACTCCAGTTATTGCTACTGAAAATGTCCCGTGTTTGAAAAGAAATAATACTTGTCCTAGAGATACAGCATCTAACTCATGAATTGCCAGACAGGCTGCCCCATACAAGTACAATAGTTTTTACTGCACAAACAAGTAGCGACAGCAATAAAATACCCCTATTCTGTTTAATCTGCAATAACACTGGCCTTTCAATCCCATAAACATCAGATGGAACACAACGCAGGAAGCCCTTCTGAAGGCATTTGGTTAGAAAATCAAGGAAAAAGAGCAACAGAAATCAGAAAAGACTGTTTCTTTAGCCAGTCGGGGTGGGTGTGGGGGGGGGGCTCTTTGTTAGTGTGATCTCTGTCATTTCACATCATTCTGTTCTCGGGTACACATTCAAACCATCTGCACATACAATTTCAGCACCGCATGGAAAGATTAACCCGCAGCTGACCTGTTTTCTCTTTGATCAAGCACAGAAAACCCCCGAGTTTTCGTGCCATGCCATGATATTTAATGGTTCATCTGGGTTTTCTCCGGATGTCACAATTACGTCTCTCCCTGCTGCCTCACAATAGCTAAATTGTTGACAGCAGCTGCTACACCTGTTTCTTCCACTGCTCTGTCAATAACGGACATGCTCTTCCTGCTACCAGGTGAGACTGAGTAAGGAAGCACCCCTTCTACCATTTCCTCCTAATAATGTTTTCTTCTTTGGCATTTTTTCATAATATTCACTGACTCCTAGGTTTCACAAAGCAGTTGAGCTCAAGTATTGGTTCTCAAGATAATCAATGCAATTTTGAAAATCTTAATAGCTTTAAAAATTGAAAAACAAACTTTGAGAAAAATCTAAACTATTATTTACACAATGAATACTATTAATGATATGAGATGCAATAAAAACAATAGGACTAAAGGATAACAACACCATACTGTAAGTGTTACAAAATCAGAGATATTTTCATATACAATTTGGATCTGTTGATAACTGGATGACTCACACATAATCTCATATAGTAGCTACAGTATAACACAACAAAATAAAGCAGATCATCTGGTACTAAGGGCTTAAAAAATCACAAACGGGTAAATCTGAGACTGGAGTGTGAAATATTAAGACATGAAATGAAAAAGCACACCATGATAGATAGTTGAACCTTTAACAGAATCAGAGGCTCCACTACTGCCCTCCACAGAGAGAAGGGAGGTACCGTAGGTAACTTGTCACCCTCATCCTGCAGAGCAAGTGAAACATGCTTCTATCATACGAATAGAAGAGAGGTTACAACAAGAGGAGGCCATTTGGTAGTTAGTAGCTAAATAATCAACCTTCATCATCAGAACACCACACAGGCTTAGAAAACTCGATCAAGAATTAGCCTTCTATCATCATCATTAAACACTCAGGCCACATCAAGGTCATGTGTCTTGGGGAAGCCACAACAGGACAGGAAAGACATCTTCATTAGCTTGTTATTAGATGGCATACGATATATATGCTTCACGGCCATCCTAGAAAAGCACAACTTTTGTGCATTTGCTTAAATGCAAAGCAAGCAGGATCAGTTGTGTTTTTTATTTGTGTTTTTATTGAGGAGGGAGAATCTCACACAGACAGCTGAGACACAGACGCAGCATGGAGTCAGTGTGGACAGATGCCAGCAAAATGGACCAGCTAATCTGATTAACTATGCATGTCACTTCTACTTATCAATACCCACCCTTACCTTAGACCCCCGATTATTTGATCAAATCCATTTCACTTGCTGAATAAATGTGCTTTCTCTTTTTCCGTAGCTCTAGATGAAGACGAAGTGCAATTTAGTGCCAGTCAGTTTAGGAAACGTAAGAAAATAAAACGTCAGTATGTATGTTTGAAACAACATAGCCTTTGTATTTGCAAACTTTGACGAACTGTAGCGGATTGTTGTCCACCAAGTATATGAATAATTCTTCAGATAAGCTGGCAATGTTAAATCCCTTTTATTTGGATTGATAAAGAAGATTGATAAAAAAACGCCTAACAGTTGCACTGTTTTTTTGTAGACGTCTACACTGTAAGGGTGGGTAATAAGGTAATTTCAACCTCTTTTTAAAAAGATTGAATGACCTTTTTTGAAAAGAGATTAAATACGCATTCTGGATATTAACTTTGTGAAGTCTTCTATGACTAAACAGGGGAGGACAACTGAAGATATGGCAAGATGTGGCACATGGATGTGCATTCGCACAGATATCAGTGGGCTTCCAGGACATATCCTTTGGAAACCTCAGCTCAGATTTAACAAGGTGCGATGTTCTCAGCTGGACGTCCACAGTGCAGAAGTACCATACCAGATGCTACAATTGACCCTAGGGAATGAGAGAGCTGGAATGAACGCTTCACACAGAACCACGGCCCTCACCTCGCTCCTAAGAGATTAACTCGGGAATGGGGTTGCATAAATGTGGAGAGATTGTAATTTGTGACGACAGCAGTTTCCTAAATGGTGTTCGCCTCGGTAGTGTTAATCTGCAAAGATGCAACTTCGCAATGTAAAAGCAGATGCGCAAGCCGTGGTTCTCATTACCTGTAGGAGCTCACAGATGCCACCTCCTCTTTAATCTGCCTGTTCAGCGCGTCCGCCGCCGCCCTCCCTCTGCCCTCGGCTACGGCTCCTTCCGCTTTGGCAGCGACTTTCTTTCCGGCGCCCTCTGGCACGGTGACTGTCTTCACCTTCTTCTTACTTTGCTTCTCTTCAGACAGTATTTCCTTTTCTTGCACCTTGTCGGCTATCTCGCTTTTTTCCTGCCCGCTTTCAGCATCAGCAGGTGCGTGGGCGGGCTTCGCCTTCTCCACAGCTCGGTCGCCGGCTATGGAGGGCGAGGGGCTCGATTTCGGTATCCAGGGATGGTCACCCCTTTTCGGTATAGGCCATGCCTTGAAATCCTTCTGGTACTGCGTTTCATTGTTAAAAGGGGCCTCCGACGGGTGATACTCGTTCTTGGGCTTGCAACTGGGCTCCGGGCGAACTTTCCAAGGTTTGAAGTCCTGGCGCATCACAGACCCACCCGGGCTTTCTTCAGCGGCGGCTGCGGCGGCTCGGGCTCCCGGTGCGGGCGTCGCCCTGGCAACTGCCTCCTGGTCGCTAAGGGAGGGTTGCGTTTCTATGGCGACCGATTCAGCCCGCGCCTGGGGATGCGGCTGTTTTTGTTGGTGCTGTAAATGGAGGTGCTGCATCTCGGTCACATCCGAATACTTGGTGAAAACCAAAGGCACCGCAATGTCAGCTTTGTCCAGCTGATTCCAGAAGCGGGCGATGCAGCACGCCCTGGTGATACAGGGCCATGCCATAGTGAACGCGATGAAATACCGCAAATCGAAAAGTATTCTATGATTATAAAAACGAATAAACCTTATGATCTAAGAATCCAATCTGCCGGCAGTGAGTACTGAAATCCGAAATCTCCTAGTGGAAAAAAAACAACAACCTCTCCTTAGTGGGCCTTTTCAGAGCGAAATATGTCCGTCTGGTATTTTCAAAACCTTGCCGTAGAATAGTAATCCGCCCCAGACCACAAAACGTTCAATCCATATTGAAATTCTACGACAAAATCTGGCCCCCAAACCGAAACCTCTCCCCCCTTTCGCGCTTGCTGGTCTTGAGTGCGCTCAGCAGTGTCCGATCCGTGCAGTTGAGCCCATGGCACTGCGTGCGAGAACTGGGGACCCCGCCCGCTTCGTCTCCGCTTCTCGAGAAGATGCTCCGCATCAGAGCCGTGAAATATCACCTGCCCCCGTCAGCACGTCACGTCTGGACAGCGCTGGGGGTGGAGACGCTTCCTGTGTAACCCTTTAGTGCAAGAAATCCACGGTCCGCTACTTCGGAAACTGATTTACTGAACGCTACGAAAAACGCACATCATCAAAGCAATCGGGGCGCGTTTTTATATAAGGTACCACGCACCACTAACTTAACAGGTGCTGACATATACTTTTAACTAATAGTTTGCTAAATTTATTATAATTAATTAATACTTGCGCTATATGCTCAGATTTTGCACTTCTGTTTTGCTAGATTTTTCTATTCTACCGCATTCTATTCTATTTTAGTTCTATCGATCATAATTCTACAGTGTAACAATAATAATTCTATCGTTTCCTTCAGTACACGCGTCTCAACTTCTCTTCCGTGTTTTTTTTTAATCAGTATTGTTTTTCAGTGTTTTCTTGTCAGGCGTAAATGCACTGTGCATTGTCTTAGATCAGAATGAGCTTTGTTTTTCTGAACGTCTATTAAGACAAGAACACATGAAAATTGATTTTTACATACAGTGCAGTAGGATAGTTCAGTGATTTTCCAAAGAATATGTTTTGTATCTATATTATACCCTACATTATATAGTCATATGAGTATATACATCCTTTATCGCTTTATTAATAGAGTGTTGAACGGCCTTTATAGCGGTAAGTCAATCTGGTTGGCGAGGATGAACGCACATACACGAGACAGTGAGTTACGTGTGAACCCTTTGATCTTTTCTTTCGTAAAGGCGCAAGCAGAAGGCCACTTAGCTCTCGAGAGGCGGTCCTCATTTCAATGACAATGCGTCCCTCCAGCTGTGAGCAGGTGGTTTGGACGTCTTCAGGCGCTGGTCCATTCTCATAACGCTTAACCCTCCCAAATACTCTCGGCTGTAGGAGTGCCATATGGTCTTTTGTCCTGCTGAGGCCGAGCCAGTTTTCAAGAGATGACCCTGACCGCAAGTACCTAACACAAATGTAAATAACCTGGAAGCACCGAGCTCAGAAGGCTTCAACACGGACAAATGAGACTCCGATCCATTGCAGAGCACTTACAGGCACAATTTAGAGATCATACATGCATAAATGCCAGCGTGATTATTAGGCAAGTGAAGGACATCTGAGCACCAGGAATAAGCCTGGGTATACCCAGAGACAACATGCAAACTCCCCACAGAAGGTATCCCAAAAGTCAAGCCCAGGAGGCAGCAGCTCTGCACATAAAGCCCTACACACTTAATGTTTAATTACATAAAGTGCCATTTCGTATCGACTTCGTAATATCAAATTAGGGGGGGGGTTTAAACATCCATTTCCATGTTAATTAAAGGTGGAACTAAAAAGGCCAGTCCAGTCTCAGCATGTCTGGCTTTTTATGAGGTTGTGCTGCAAGTCTGCTCTGCTTTAAGGAAATGCTCACTTCAGGGTGAACAAATACTGGTCAGCGTGGAGGTACCTGGGCAGAGCTAGCAGCAGAAACTGAACTTTCTTGGAAGTGGGTAAGTGCAATATTTCTAGAGAGTCAAAGTATTTGAAGTCTTTTAAGGAACTGGATTTTATGTTTTATATGCCTTTAAAAGCAACGATCTCAAATATGAAAAAAAAACACATCTCACAATAAAGATAACATTGAAATGACAAGCTTATGAAAATAAAGCAACACTGATGAGGAAACAATTCCGAAAAAGCCCTTCCAAAACAGCACGTTTTAGTTTTGAACTTGCTTATCTGGCAGGGATGATGCAAGGATTTTCGTGACCACAGGGAATACTGTTCAGATGTGACTATTATAAACAGATTCATGCTGCTTCATCTGTTATCAGGACATCTGACAAATCACATGGATAGACACGATCGTTACAATCCCAGGCCTTCTGTTTGCAGCAAGCACTTGACATAACATTGCTAGAGATCATCCCACATTTGTTCTTTTCCAAAACAGACGAGAAAAAGCCATAGCCCCCAGTTTCTGGTTGATTCCTGTGTGCTTTGTGTGGGCATGGTTTGCCTATTCCAAACAGGGACGGCAGTCTACACGTCTGTGTATGTGACGGGTGTAGAGGAACTACTCAATGTACCGTGTACAAGGCACTGTAGTGGGGGTCAAAGGTCTGAGGGCAGGAAGTTTCTCTTGCACAATCGAACCTTACATTGAGGAATTGCAAAATAAGCCTGCAAGCAGAGGAAGTGAATGAATTCAAGCGCCGTTCTTCGGCTGCCGCCTGCGTGTCCGGAGGTCGTGTGCCGTCTCCCCACAGACCACCATGAAGGTTCAATTTGCGCCTTTAAACATTCCTCGAACCAGGAGGCTGCAGACCGCAGCCGTGCTGCAGTGGGTTTTCTCCTTTCTTGCGCTGGGTAAGTCCTGCTTATTTACACCTTCCTCCTTGAACTTCTCCGTCTGAACTCCATATTCAGAGGGCTACTGGTTAAGACGTCGCTTTTGTCAGCGTGCTGGCTTCCTGTTTTTGGGGGGGTTTAGGCACCTCCTTTCCTGTTGCATGCATCCATGTGACAACGGCTGTCCCGAGAATTACTGCCCTGACGGTTTCTTACAATTCCATTCTTACAAGGCAGCGCTGCTCCCTTCCACCTCGGTTTTTTCAGCAAAGCTTTGCTGGAACGATGCTGAGAAATACGTCCCAACTCATTCATTAACACTGCAGAACCTGAAAAAACATCTTTAATAAGAAACATATCTGTACACGAAATAGCGGTGCCTGCAATACTGTTCACACAAGCGGTAGTAAAGAGAGTCCCGCCAGCTGAAGTGTGTTTGGTTGAGGTGTTATGGAGTCTCATGTGCTGGCGATATTTCAAAATAAATGATCTGACACTGGCAGTGGTGGAAGAGGCAAACACAGCATTGCAAGTGTCAGGCCCTGCGTCTTGTCTTGGAAGGAGACTCTGGATGCCTACCGTCTGGGGCCGTAAACTGAATGGATTTGTGCGAAAGAGAAAATGCATACTGTGCATTAAAAAAATGCACATGACAAAAAATGTACAAAAAATTAGTAAATTAGTGCTAGAAGTGCAGTCCATGGGCAGCACGGTGGGACAGTGGTTAACATCACTGCCTCAGAGTGCATGGATCTGGGTCAATGGGGTCTAGGGTGCGATCTGCGTGAAGTTTGTATGTTCTTCCCATGGTTGTGTGGGCTTCCTCCTTATACTCTGGTTTCCTCCCGGAGTCCAAGGACAGGCTGGTAGGTTAATTCCCTTCTGAGAAGACTGGGCCTGGTGTGAGTGTGTGTATGTTTGTGTCACCACCGACATCATGGACATTTCACTGGTGGGTGTGACATCCCATCCTAGCGACTCTAAACAGTATACAATATTCTCCATGCTCGTTTCTCCCTGTTGGCAGTGTTATTTTCATTTTTTCTAAGGTTCAGAAACAGTTTTAGCTTTCATTCTTATGATAAAACAATTGCACGGTGGAAATAACAGTACTGTGCATTGGTATTATGCGATTCAGTGCTGCACCAGAGTGTCGATCAAGCACGATCAAAGAAGTGGCTGCAGACTTCTGGGAACGCCTGCCCTGCACCTGCAGGCTGGCAGACTGCTGCCAAACACAGCCAGGCCTGTCTGTGCTGCTTGGGCCTCGTCTGAACAGTCATTTGTCAGCAGGAAAAAGTGCTCCAAACCGTTCTGTATTTCTTACGATTCCCATCATACCTGCAGTATTGCGGTGTCATCAGAATGTCAGTGATGCAGACTCAGGCTGATCTGTATGGAGTGGCACCTCATTTACTCTCCAGTGGAGCCTTTCTGCACATCAAACACTATTTGAGTTCTGTGTCTGCAAAAAACAAACAGGCAGGAAAACATGTACTTTTACATTTATGATGTCGTTTTCTCTATGAGGAATAAATGCCGTATCCGTGTTCCTAAGCTCATTGACAGAGAGAGGATGCTGTGTGCACCAGTCCTTAACTGGGTTATTGTCTTCTCAGCGCAGTGCTGCTACGTGCTGTTTTTCGCCCTGATCTTCACTCGATTCTGGCTGATCAGCGTCCTGTATGCCACCTGGTGGTTTATTGACCGCGATACACCATCTCATGGGGGTAGGAGACTCCCCTTCATGAACAATCTGCCACTGTGGAAGTATCTCCGGGACTACTTTCCTGTTAAGGTAAGACACCTGAGTCTCATTCGCTCACTGGGCTGAAGGCTGCGGAGGATGAAAGGTGTTAGTCCGAAGAGCAAGCATTGAATGTTTTATGGGATTTCAAAGTCCCACCAGTAGAAATTGTGTATGCACTCTGAATCCGGGCTCCTTGCCACCTTCGGAGAGGAGGAGGGGAAGATTTTCACCCAGTAGGAACATTAGCCTGCAGAATGGCGTGTGTACATTGTTGGACTGCAATACCCAAATGCCTCTTACTTGTTGTACACTTACACAAATATTCAGATCATAAACAGTCAAAGGGTGGCCTAGGTCATTTAAAGCAGGCACAGCAAAATGTGGAAAAAGTTCTCCACAATAACAGCATCACCGATATCAGTGTGCAGCATCAAAAAGAAACGTGGAGAGTTAGTTTGAGGGAAAGTTACAGTTTGTTGCTTTTCTTTTAATGGGCGATTTGCGTGCTGACTTAGACCACCCGTGCTCTGTCTGTGGTTGTTAACAGCTGTTTAAGTTTTCTCAGTCAATTTCTTGTTGTCAGTTGACCTTCTCACCTTTGCCTTTCTGTCTGTGCAATATCAAATTAGTCTGGCTGTTGCGATTGGGGAATTCATTCTAGAAGGTACTGTAGCCTGTTGCTGTCATCCAAAACTGCCTTATAGCTTTTTTGGTCTGTAAATAGTCGGAGATAAAGAGCACCCTTGACAGATAAGATAAGGTAAGTGTACAATTAACCTCCGTATCTCAGCCCATTACAGCTATATTTCTCCTTCAGACACATTTCTGCAATTCTTCAGATCTGCCTTGAGAAAATATTGCAGATCAAAACACTATTTTAGCTGCTCGGCAGTTTGTTTTTTATTAACAATAAATGTATTTTTTCTTAATTATTGTTTCCCACACATTAGCACTAGTAAGTGACCCCTCTCTCCTGAAGCATAGATTCTGCTAAGCAGCATGTTCCAAACTATTTTTTTTTAGCAATTGAATGTTACCTTTCTCCATCCTGTTTATTCTTAGGTATGGAATACATATATGGCTTAGATTTTAAAATGAATTTCACCTTAATTTCGGGTATATTCCATTCCCATATGGAGCCATTTAATCTTGCCTTCACAATAAAAGCTATATCTCATGCTCTGCCCTGTAAACATCGTCCTTGATGGAAATCAGAGATCTTTGCATTTTGGACTCTCGGTGAGAGGGGCACATCTCAGCCTGCCAGAAGATCTCTCTCAGCTGCTCTGGCACCGACTGGCTCCTTGTTCCTCTGCCAGGGCCCGGCGCACACCGGGGCTGAAGGGTAATTGCTGCAGTCATGTACTGTTGGCTGTAGAAATACTCAGTTTCTAGGATGTCTTTACAAGCCTGTGGCGGCCTGATTGTTCCTGTAAATTAATTTCTATCCCAGGGAGATCCTGCTGGTTGCTCTGTGCACAACACTGTGAAGACTAGTTCAGTTCTTTATTTCCAAATGGAGGTTCAGCATAGACGGTATCCAGAACTTTCTCGTGAAATGCCTGAAAGGAAACGTAATGTGAGTGCCAGTCCAGTCCAGTCCAGGCAAAATAAACACCAGGACCATTGGTGAAAAAAAAAAATAACTGGCAGAGTGAGTTATTGCCAGCTCTTTAAATCTTTCACTGCAGAACATTTGGTAATGTATTATTTATAGCACACATCTTAGATTTGCAGTTTGTGTTTTGTCTATTTGTGTACCTCACATGTTCTGATTAATGGCTTTTGAGGCCTGAATTGCCACTGGTTTACCTTGTGCCAGTCTGGCTTGTGTTGTGGTGATTATAAAAAAATGTTTTTCAGAAATTTCACTACAATAATAATAATAATAATAATAAACAAAAAAACATGTTCTAGATGTTGAGATTTTACTCCCAAACGTTATGTGCATGCTTGAGTGACATTGTGGCATGCACCTAAGTGCTGCCACTGTACACAGTTCTAGGGTCCTGGGTTCAATTCCTGCCTGGGCACTTTCTGTGTGGAGTGTGCATGTTCACCCCATGCTCACATGGCTTTTCTAGCTGCCTCCCTGGGTGTGATATTGCAGCCTTTAAAGCATCCCGTCACTCTGTGATGGGTATGGTGTCTCCTTAAGCTCTGTGCTTCCAGTAAAGACGTGTACTGTCCAGTATATACAGCATACAGTACCTAAATATAATTTTTATTGCCATGACCCTTACAGGAATAAGCCATTTTCTGATAATAGTTGGATGGATATCGATCCTGATTGACAAATGGTATAAAGTCAGAAATTGCTCGTGCAGAGGTGCTAGCCAACTGTACCAAAGATACAGAGCAAGAAGAGAGAAGAGAGCTCCAAGCTCAATTCTGGAGACAGAGAGCAAATCTGGCTGACAGACCAGTAACCATAGAAACCTTTAGAGTTCTATATTTTAGAATTAATCTGAATATTGTAGCCAAGTCGACGCTATGGAAATGCAATGGAAACACGACAGATTACAGGCTAAAAAAACTCAGAGCATGTCACCGCAGTTGACTGGTTTAATCTAGTTTGGGGCTCATCTGTGCATCAGAGTCCTCACTGGTCTGGACAAGCTGTCATTTTTGTCCTCAAGTTCAGCTGGCAGCTCTCATCAGTGTGATTCCAGTTTTCTTACATAAGTACAGTTCATGGATTTACTAATACTAATACTAATACATACTAATAAGGATTGCTTACTTAAAAGAAGAGGCGTAATAAAAATGCTTTCTGAAATGTAAAAAGTACAGTAGTTGCAGTCAAGACCACGTGAAATTTAATATTTTAAATAATATTTAAATCAACTATAACTGCATAATGAAAATTTGATGTAGGGTTTATTAGTGCTTTCTCTTTCATCTTTCACTATTTTTCGGTGGACTTTCAGTTAAGGTGTGTCTGTGTTTCTTTGGCAAGCATAAAAATATAACTAACATTACTTTCATTATTACAAGTGGGCATAACTTGTTGAAAAATAAAATAAGTACAGAGCAGTCGAAACATGGGAAATCGGGTGTTTTGTAATTACACAAAGTATTAAATACAGATTTACATTCCTGTCTCTATGTGCCACAGGTGTTGAGGAATAGACAGGACAGTTCCTTCAGAAGCAGGTTATATTAGTAATATTTGGCAGAAGCAGTACAACACAATGCTGCCACATTCTGGTCGTAAACGGTACTACACAAACCCCGAGAAGAATTTTTATAGGATTTTTAATAACCTCGAACAACACGAGTAACTGTAGATTGGTTTTGTTCAGGACAGAGTATATGATGAGCTATTGACTTCTAATGTTAATGACAAGGGAGTGCAGGTGTGACATTATCACTGAAGTTTTATTTTTAAAATATAAAATATTAATGAAATATACATTATTTTACTCTTTTATATTTTGGTCAAATAAAAGTTGCCCTAAATGTACAAATGTTCCCAAACTGTACAAAACATAGTCATTAAAGGAGCACACAATAGTGCCTACAATTGAACAAGGAGTTGAATATTGAACACTCTGTTATTCTTTGTTATCTTTTACTCCTGTCCTGTGGACTTTCAGTAAAGGCGTGTCTGTGTTTGTCTTCCTCTGGATGCCTGTTGTTCTGACCCTTGTCTAACTTTTTGACCTCAATACCAGATAGCTGTTAATGTTTTCTGCGGGACAAGCACTGAGAGCAAAACAGCACCAAATCTTCAAAGCCTAGTACACACATCAAGGATTTTATTCTTTCTCCAGTTGTTTGCAACAGGATTGGAACTAGGTGCTCTGACACAATGTCGGTTTGGTGTTTGTTGCAGCTTCAGTAGTCAATTTAATCAATTAGCCAAACTATTTACTTTGTCAGAATTTTCTTAAGCTCTTTTATGATAGTTTACTCAACACATTTACATGATTAAGGGTAGATTCATATAACTCCACAGAGCCAGGTTGCACTGTTCTTTTACATTTAAGTAGTAAATTCACTAATTGGACCAACTAAGTAGTTGAAAGCCTGGTTGGAACAAAAAAATCTAAGGCACTGTGCTGTCCAGGAATTGAGTTTGAACTAGAGGTATTTATGGGTTACAGATGGAACAAAAACTCCTAAGCTTCATCAAGTTTGAAATGGAAAAAATCAACTGTTAAAATCAACCACCTTAAAATCAACTGTTTTAATCAGTGGTTGTTTTATTGAAGCCACTTAAATGCTCAAAGAAAGAAGACCAGAGCAACACTCATACCAAATTCATTTACCGACAATAATAACTTCTTATAACAATAAGGATAAAGTCTTGGCACTTCAACCTAGATCAGAAAAAAAAACCACAAAGATATACAGTAAACACAGATAAACACAAGCGTCCCCTTCACTCTTTAGATACAATAAACACTTCAAATGACAAGCGTGTGAAAATGTAACTTCTAATTATTTTATAATACCTAAAAACATTATTTCAGAAAGAATTTGATCAAGTCCAAACAGAAAATGAAAAACCATCATTCATTAAGTTTTATTATAAAAAGGAGCACTTCATTCTACAGCATGTGCCACCCAATCAATCTGACCTGGATAGAAATACACCAAATACTACAAATACTGTACATCTGTCTTACTTGTCACGTCACTGCACTGAGCACAGTGGCTTGAATTCATACGTCACGAGATTCTTGCTTGTTACTCGGGCACAGTTTGAAGGGTGCCGAAGGGTACTGTATCTTGCCTAATTCACTGGTTTAGACTCCAAGCAGAGAGGAGGGTTTGGGTGTCTGTCTTCTTGCACTGGAGTGTGCAGCAGGAGCCCTGGTCTGCATATCCTTGGCTCATCTTTCAAGCCCGTCTACAGCTTTGCTCAGATAAGCCTGCTACCTTGGAAACTCCATGCAGTGTGCGTTTGACTCTTGGTTTGTAACCCAGAGTTGCTCACTGAAGCTCGGATTTGCTACGCTGCTGCAATAAGGGCTGGAGGAGAAGATGTCCTCTGTTCGTCTCTATAGTTGCGGATTTGTTCGTGTAAATACTGTGCTGTATATGTCTGTCCGGTCATATCAAAAACTACATCTGGGTGTTTGAGTTTGGTTTCACCTGATTTTGAATACATACTGTAGGCACAGTGGAAACATATGTTGTTCCCAGGCTAAAAAAAATGAAGTGGTATTAAAATTAAGTAGTGAATAATGCAGTTAGGTTTTTAGGAGCTGGTGGCCTGGGGCTTTCTTGGAGCAGAAATGCAGACCCCTTCTGTAGGGCAATGAAAACCTAAGAAGTGAATGAAGGGAGACGAGATCCTGATGGAGAGTAAGAATGAGATATTTCAGACTACTCTGGTGACAGAGATACCCTTTAAAGGTGCAGAGCATGTATGCAGAGCTTTAAAAGAGGCACAGGGGATGGGGTGGTCTGAGCCAACATATGACTTCATGCGTCATCATGGAATGTGTTAAACAGCAAATTTCACAAGTCAAATGCGTATCCTGGAAATTCAACATCGATTTGGGAGAGGTTCATTAAATCTGTGACTGTCTCTGAACAAAATCCCTTTGTTTTTCAAAAAGGCTGGTTTGTATTCACTCTGTCACATCACTGCTTTCTGTTATAAATCCATCGTGTGGGGATTCTAGATATGATAAATGGCCTTCATGTGTCAAAGAAGACTCCTGCCCTACTGTCTAATGCTGATTTTAAAAGAATTTCCGTCAATTAACCTTTAAAAGGATTCCCTGCACATTTCCTCAGTAATGTATATCTTCCTGTATACATTATAACCATGCAAAACGCGAAATCTCTTAGACTTTCAAAGATGCAAAATTGATGAGACATTCAAATCTCTCACCTTGAATTATGCGCTCATAGGCTTTTTGTTCTGAGTTTAGCATTCAGATTTGCAATAATATGTCTTTCCATGAAGGAAAATATAGCTAGTGTCTAAATTTTTGGGCTCAAAAACACTGTTTTGAGAATGATGAAGAAAATACAATTTAGCTGCCATCAAGTGACCAGATGGCAATGGATATCTGCTTCTGTATTCAAGTAGATAAGACTATCTCCCGCAAGCCAATACAAATTATTACATTTCTATTTGAAAAAGCCCCAGATCTAATGGAGTTTCCTTTTACACATTTAAAAAAACTGTGTTGCTCGTGGAACGTATAGGTGAATTAATCGGTTGTGTGCATTTTTGTCATTCACGTCATTGTCCCTCATATCAGCACCTTCACCTTCCAGTTTCTCTGAGAAAAACAAGCTGTGAGGATGTTTTTTGAAAACGGGGCCCAGTGTTTGTAAACACTTAAAGAGCCTGAGCTGAAGAACAAGAGACAATGATTAATCTGTGGGGACAGAGGCTGTTGGCACAGGCAATGAAAGTAGTGCCTTTTGCTTCAAACAATGGGTGAGTGTTCACAAACACAGGCAGCCTAGTATCGGTAGACCCATTCCAATAGCCAATGTTTAAAAGATTGAGCATCAGCTTTTTAATTGACCAGTAGACCTTTTATTTTATAAATATAATACGCGAAAAGAGAATGGCCTCACCCATGAAGATATTACGTCCGTCACTCTCAGTATTCAGTCTCTGTCTGAGAATAATGTGTCCCGATCCTTATGGCTTCTTTGCTATAACATTACATAGACATTGGCTGTAAGTTTTACCTACAGTAAGACACTTTGAAATCCTCTTTGAAAGGTCATTCAAAGAAAGAAAGGTCAAAATAAGTCATTTAACTAATATCTTTCACTGAAGGAGGTGGTTACATTTCTGGGATCTTCTGTTAACTGTTCTGGCACTGAGGCAGTACATATTCAAACAAACGTACACATAAAACTACACATGTACTTAAAGCATCACTTTTACTTCAAAAGGGTGCTACTTTTACAAACAAGCTATGTTGGAGCTTTCATCACTTTCTGAGAAAATAACCCTAAGAAACCAGATCAGTATGAAATAACAAACCTTCTCTGTTTTTTAAAATGCATTTGATTGGGGTGGTTTTCTTTTACGCATTCTCGGAGTCACACAGTAAGTTCTGACGTGGAAATGTTTATGTAATATTTACGTAAAGTTCCTGTTGCTGCTGTTTTTAAAAGACAGAGGTTCTCAGTCCAGATCTTGGGAAAACCCTGTGTCTGCTGGTTTTTGCTTCTGTTGGGGCCTTACTAACCAAAGCGTATTGCACCCAGTAATTAATCTGCTTGCTTGTTGAGACGTTTTTCCCTGCACACAATGTAAAAATACCCCAGTACGGCAGTTCTCAGTCATGGACCGGGGTATCTTCTGGTTTTGCTGCAGCCAAATGCTTTATCATAGGCTAATTTATATCTGTAAAAGTGAGACTCAGGACTGTTGTCATTCAGGTGAGGCAGGAGGAGAAGAGCAAGAGAAAAACAGAAGGAAAAACACTGACTCACCGCGGGAGTTGTCTGATACTCAATCAATAAGCCAGTGTCTGTTCATTATCAATTGATCACCTGTTGTAGAGCTGTTTAGACAGTGATAAGGATTCATAAATAGCAAGGTGGGGAGAGACTGTATGAAGTTTTGCCTGATAAAGGTATTGGAAATAATGTACTTTATATGGGGTATTTTTGAAACCAGGTGATGAGTGCAAAAAAAGTCTAAACCAGCAAGCAAATCAGATACAGGTCCCGGTTAACACTAGTGTTTAAGGGCCCAGTTAGGACAAAAACCAGCATACAGGTCGTCCGTGACCAGGACTGAGAGCCTCTATTACAAGATAATGATGCAATAAAAAAACCCAGATAGTTACTTAAAATGGTAACTTTAAAGTTACCATTGATGAATGTAATGCTTGGCTAATTAGTCAGGTTTTTGTTTTATATGGAAACATAGTGTTCTTCTTTTTGTCTGCTTCAATGTTATCAGGCCCTAATATTGTCTTGGCTTTGAACATTGTGATAATTTCAGCTGGGGGGGGGGTATTGATCTCAGAGATCTCTGACCTTGGACTCCTTCTAATCTCCAGCACTCTGAATACAAACAAGCACGTGCATTTTGTTTGGACAAGGATCCTACAATACATTGGCACTCATGGAGCTCACATGGAGAGCACTTTGGTGATGCCCTTGCCTTGACCGATCCTCACTCAACTGTGGGATTACCCAAGCCTGATGTTCTGATGTTTATCTCTCGCTGGGTCTCCAGGAAAGTAAAAAAAACAAGGTGGAAAGCAATGTGCCCCAGTACAAAAAAAGAATTAAAAAAATAAGATTTTTAAAAAGCACAAACTAAATTTGAATCGAATACGTCTCGGGAGACGCAAAAAAAAAACTTTTATTTGCCATATGTTGAGTTTTTCAAAAGCTAGCTTTTCGAAAGCAGACTTCTCCCCATCTTTAATGGGAATATCGGTTGTGATATTAACGTACTGTATGCCTGTGCAAGACCAAGTGTTGATATTACTGTATATTAAATGGGGAGCTCAGGACATATCCTTATTTCATTCTGAACTTGTAACACAATTTCTGCTTGGCCTGCTGTTTCTCTGGTGCTCTGGCCGCTCATGTTTCTATGCTGTGTGTCAGAGGTTGACCAACTCTTAGTTTGAGCAACGCCAGAGTTAGTGACATGGGTAACATGCCGAAACCCACTCTGCACCTCCGGCTGGTTCATTGCGATTGTGATTTCGGTGGCCGGCACGTTTCCATCTTTTAATTCCCCGTCGTTCCCTGTTTCTGGCCCCCAGCTGGTGAAGACGGCCGACCTGGACCCGAGACTGAACTACGTGTTTGGGTTTCATCCTCATGGGGTGCTGGTGGCTGGGGCCTTCGTGAACTTCTGCACCCTGTCCACCGGATTCCTGCAGCTCTTCCCCGGAATGACGCCCTTCCTGCTCATGCTGCCGCTGTGGTTCAGGGTGCCTTTCTTCCGGGACTACATCCTGTCTGGAGGTGAGGAGAAGCCGGCCTGCCTCTGAGACAGGGTGAGCTGCGTGTGCTGGGCAGAGACAGGGGGCATTTCTCAGGGCTGGTTAATGATCACAGGGGGGCGGGAAGGGTCCATTTCACCTCACGGGCCTTTTAGCAGCAAAGAACTTCCTGTAAAAACAAATCAATGCGGAATTGAAGGAATTCAAAAGAGGAGACGTTGGACCTGTGCTTTCCAGGACTGATCCCCTCGGACAAAGAGAGCGCCAGCTACCTGCTGCGGCGCCCGGAGGGCGGGAATGTGGTGGTCATCGCGGTGGGAGGGGCGCCCGAAGCCCTGGATGCCCGGCCGGGAGCCTTCACCCTGCTGCTGGCCAACAGGAAGGGGTTTGTCAAGTTGGCGATTGAGCACGGGTAAGAGCAGGGGCGGGTGTGACCGCTCCACAGGAAGCACTGGGGCAACGTGCTACTGGAGACTCAAAACTCTAGAACTGGACGTGCCTCAGAGCTCAGACGCGCAAGGGTTCAAGATGACAGATCCGCGCGACCGCTCGGTATCCTAATCGGGGGGGGGGCTCTGAGAACGAGAGCTGGGCAGTGACGGTGCCGTCTGTCCCGGTGCTCTCCAGGGCCCCGCTCGTCCCCGTGTTCTCCTTCGGAGAGAACGAGGTGTTCGACCAGCTGGACAACCCCCGGGGCACCTGGCTGCGCTGGCTCCAGGAGCGCCTGCAGAAGATGATGGGCGTCTCGCTGCCGCTCTTCCACGCGCGGGGCGTCTTCCAGTACAGCTTCGGACTCATCCCTTACAGGAAGCCCATCTTCACCGTGGGTAAGCCGGGTCAAAGGTCGGGGCCTTTGCTGGGTGAACAGGCCGGGCTGACAGACCTAGGCTCCTAGCGCCGGCGTGACTTCAATTCCCCACGCCTACCGGGAATTTCATTTCGGAGACGTGTGGTTTGCTTCTTTTGCCACTGAGGAAACGATGCGTTCCTCAATTCAGTTAGAGCAGTTGGAGAACACAAATTGTTCTTGGAAAGCAGGTGGGCAAGGAGGTCACTTTCTCCACTTTTCTTACATCTTTATTTTCCCAGGGCAGCCTCAAGGAGTAAGAAACACGGGCTGGGGTTGCAGGCCTTGGTGTCGCAGACTCAATACATTAAAATCGAATCCACTGCCGTGTCTCTGCTCATGCATTCCGTTAAATGAACAAAAATGGAATCATGGCTCGTTTGCCTGCATTACCTTAAATTAGTCAGGTTGTGTGTACTGACATGCCTGTGTAAAGCTGGCTCTTCAGCAATATACAGTATTTTATTCTGATATCATTATGACCTTCATCTAAGCAAAAAGGACATTTTCAGAATTCCTCCTTCAGGCTCAATGTTTCCTCCTTCTGGTTTTTGGATACCACGCAAGTATTGTAGCACAGGGAGAAATGCAGTAATGCTGACCCTCTTTTTAAATACTGTTTCATTTGTGGACAGCAGAGAGCACAAATCATGTTTACTTGCTTTCCTTATCATTCTAAAAATGACCTAGATTATAGATTACTGAATCCCAGGGCCTTGATGTAATAAAATGTTTCTCATCCTCAGACATCTGAACAATTGTTTAAATAATTACAGTGTGAAGCCAGTAGCTAAGGCATTGAACTTAAACATTGAAGTGCTGAAAGTCTAAAGCTCTAACCAGGCAAGCACTTTGTGATTTAACTGAAGATGCTGAGTGAAAAAGATTACTACATAAATCTACATAAAGCACAAGCATTTTATTTACTATGTCCTGGAGTCGCATTAGTGACCTAAACATGGTGCATTTTGATGTGTGAGCAACAGGTATCATTGTGTGAGAAACAGAAGAGCAATGTGCTCAAATATAGGCACCGAGTTCTTTACTAACAAGTAGCATGTGTGCTGCAAGCTGTGGACAGGAAAGTATTACAGCCACTTAACACGATTGTGGGCCCATGATCTGGTACTGTATATCGGGGCTTTAAAGCAACTGTGTACTAATGTCCAAGTAGAATGTCATCTGGCTCACGGACAGGGCTAACACCCCTGCACTGCTTTCTTGTTTCCACCTGCAGTCGGGAAGCCGATCAAAGTAGAGAGAAACGAAAAGCCAACCGAGGAGGAAGTGGACGCACTTCATGAGCTGTACATCGAGGAGCTGTGCAAGCTGTTCGAGGAGCACAAGGGCAAATACGGCGTGCCAGAGGACAAGCACCTGAGCTTCATATGAACCCTTTCTCACTGGAATCCTTTCTTCAAAAGAGCAGACGTTGCATCATCCCCAATCACATGCAAAGGGGTTTTCTTGTAAATCTTGCAAGTCTGTGTCACTCCCTGGAGGCTTAACTCGAAATGTATTTTTGTATGTAACTTTTTTTTTCTGGAGTTGAATGAAACAGACGGTTAAGTTAATAACGTCGTTGTTTGCAGTTGCCCAGACATTTGAGTTTCTTTGCCCTGACATTAAGCACTTGTAATAACACTGAGGTGTAAATCCAAACTCAGCGGTTCAACCAAGTTCACGAGTGCCTCTAACCTAATGAATGACTGCAAATGAGGCAAACAGGAGAAGCATTTATTTTGACCTTGGCGCCTGGCACGGGACCAGCGTGCTTTAGCCATTGTTTATGCGCTAACTTTGCTTAGTTTAGCCAGAATTGGTGTCTGTGTAACAAAATGTTGGATAAGGTTTTTATCAATTTCAGGGGCAGAACTGGGAATTATAGTTTGTAGCTCTTGATTAAATGAATAAAGTTACAATTTACACATGACGTAATGTTGTGTTGATAGTGTACATGCCCCTTATCCAAGTCAAGGTGACGGTGATCGCGAATACTATACACAAATGGCAGCTGAAATACTTCTGTAGTGCTCCCAGGCCAAATTTGTACATTTATTCTGAATGTTAGCTCTCTGAACACCATGCTCATTCCAAGTATTCCTGTCTCGGGGGTCCAGCACAAACACAAACTGCAATGGGCAGCAGGTCTTTTTATTCAAACCCATGACATTACCACTAACCTCTAGAAAGCCGAGAAGAAGCCACAGAGGGTGCAGAGGGACAGGGAGGTTACTTGAGAAAATCACTGGAAGGTCAGTGTGGGACAGGACAACTTTTAAAACTGCATCTATTTAACAGACAAAAGCGCCCAGCACAGACTCTCCCCCACAGTCGGTTTGCCAAGGAGCAGCCTGACTGGGCAGCTGCCTTTGCCACAGCTTCAGTGTCTCTTCACGGCAGCTCAGATATCGTTGTGCTGCTACTGCAGCAGAACCAACGCTCTTGCCTGGACTGGAGTCCTTCCATACAAAAAGGCAATTTGGCTGCCCTTTACAGTTTTATAATAATGTCTGATTTATGGCAGAGATCAGTTATTTCAAAACTGCAGAGTGTCTCTGTCTGCAACTGTCTGTTGCAATATTCCAGACATTTAAAGACAGATGTCCAGGTGATATTTCAACAGAGCACGGTCACATAAAACATTTGGAATGAATGCTAACGTTTTGTCCTTGCGTGGTCCCTGAGAGTAAACTCTCAAGCACGTTGATATTTAACTATCTCTACGGCAACACCACTGAATTGTGTATAGTGAGTTGCACAAAATGACTACTGTATATGATTTTGATGTGCTATGTGAAGTGGCATATGATCAAAATATGATCTCAAAGCACTGTATAATAAGTTTAAGCAGGAAACAAACACTGTACATCAATATACAAATGACAATATCTTTAGGATCTTTAGGATTGCCAATGTGAAAACACACATTTTGAAACAATATTTCACATAATTAATTATTTACTTCACATAAATCAGTTTGCCTAGGAACAGGTCAACAAAAAGCCACAAATCTTTACCGCACAATGTGGCTCAAGAAAGATGGGCCCATGCCCTCCTTTTGTTTGTAACCTTTCTTATGTTCTTGAAAGTGCTAAGCTAGCAGTTTTGGGGGAAAACAGCAGCTTTAAGTTGTGAGAAATGACTTGGACTCAGGACGAGTCCCCTAGATTTGGGGTCTCAGTTCATTCAGGAATTAAATAAAGTAATTCTGTAACCAAAACAAAATTCTTTCACTGCTCGATGACGTGTTTGTTAGCCTAGCAGTACCTGAGACCCAGGAAGGGATGCCCTCTTCCACATCGCACGTCAATGTGTACTTTGTGCCCAATTAGAATAGTAATAGTTTCCCTGTAATATTGACAAAAGCTGTTCTATGTATATACTTAGAATGAGTTTTTGCATGTTAAAATAAAGACCCGTGTCCTGCACTTCCTACTTCCATGGGGTATTACTTTTAAAGGTTCCTAAAACAAATTCAGATTACATATCCTAGGACAATGTACAGTTTCTTTTTAGTCATATTTAAATAGACAAGGACTCTATTGCTGTTCATTGATGTGTCCTTTTAAGTGAGCTGAATGCCAGCTGTATAAAAGCCGATATCCTTTAAAAGGCATATATTACTCAGGTTATCCGAGGCAACCTGAAGTATAATTTTACATGAAATACAGGAAACAAATTACGTATGGTAGAGCAAAAGATAAATGCTGATTGAGTTAAAAAATAAAACATTACGTTAACTGTACCAAGCATTAAAATATAAAATGGGAAAATTGTGTGAGTGGATCACATTTTAGAATATTTTATCAAATTTGACAAATACAGTTGCCAATGGATGGAAAAAATCAAGTTACAAGGATCGTATGCAAGCACTGTGAAGAGAAATAGGTATGAAAATACAGATTTGACCCTAACCTGATGCAAATCCTACTCCTTCCCCTACTGTATGCTTCCAGTACAACTCTCAAAACAGCCTGTGGTCCATCTTCAAGTGCAGCATTGGTCATTTTGAATTCAACCTTTCAAATACAATGTGTCGACTAATTCTAACAGACACCAAATTATTTTTTCCCAAAATACCTCAAAAAGTACACGGTTTATTACAAAGTTATATTTTGGACTGAACGGTTAGTTTACAAAGTAGTAATTTCCATCTATTTCTGTAGCCTATATTAGGTCCTAAATTTTAGATAGATCATACAATTGGTAAAGGTCAGCCCATGTATTTTTTTTGGGACATATTAATCCAGGGAAAGGTCAGCAGCGAGTTGCAAAATGATAAAACGAGATGATTTCTTAATTTCTGTAGACAAGAATGCGAAAGTAGGCATGCCTGGCTGCCAAGTTGTGTGTCAATGATTCTGCATGCCTCCCGAAACGATTTCATCAATACTGTTTAGTCAGCTGCCATTTCTTCATCGGTGTCTGTCTGGCTGTTCACCAAATGGTGCCGTTCATGCGGACACCCACACCTTTTACACGGTTAGCATGTTCTGATACAAAGGCTTGTGCAGAAGCTCTTCTGATGTCAGTGCACTAATAGATGAGCGCTACCTCCACTAGAGTCGCAGGATGGTCATGTCAGGTCACTGGGTGGCCTTTGCATGCTCGAGTGTCCTCCGTGACTCGGTTCAGTGCCAGATGAACGGAATGCAAGGGGCAGGGGAAGGCTGCCATGCCGTTCAGACTTGGCGATGGCTGTCCGGGGACCTTGAGTGACTGCGGACTGGACGGCTGGCACGAGCAGAGCCACCCCCTACTGGCTGGCTGGCACCCGCTGTGCACAAGAGAGGGGAGCGTGGCTCTTAGGGGACTGGAAGGAGTGAAAGCAGACGAGGTCTGTGCTGATTGATTGATTGATTGCTTGTTTGATTGATTGAACAAATGATTGTCGCTTACTTACAGCACTCACGTGCCTCCCTGTGCGATTAACCTGACATGAAGTTCAGAAAAAGGTGATACTGTAAGCGAACAGAAAAATAAATGAAGATGGAACCAATAAATTAAAGCAGGTCAAAAAGCAATGCCACTGTACCGAAACATAAAATAACCCTCCATCCATCTCCAGCCCCCTTATCCAAGTCAGGGATGTGGGGGAGCCAGAGTCTATTCTTTCAAGCAATGGGTACAAGGCAGGGTACGCCCTGGGCAGAACGCCAGTCCATCACAGGACACCCAGAGAGAGGCAGACGCACTCACACCCTACATCAATATCTGCATTATACCGATTTTCTACATCTTTTTTTTTTCCTCGTTGCGAGGCCTGCAGTATCACAGATCTAAGAAGTTCATTTGGCATTGTCACTAGATTATTGTCATTTTGGTGCCCCTCTTTCCTACTCCCTTCTGCAGGACAGCTGTTGAGGTGGCTGATGGCGTGCAGAACACCGTGCTTAGCCAAGACAGTCCTTTCAATGCATTCAGGGGGGCTTAGGGTGACAGCTTGGATGCAAAATCAAACTACAGAGAAATCATTCCGTACGCCATTTTTATTGACCTGAGCAACAAGATAGCGATTTGAAGGCAAGTAACTTTCTAGCCATCTCATCCAGGCCTTTTAGAAAATAATACAAGCACTCAGACCCACGGTATTCTCTCGGTTTCACTTGATTGGCTAAAAGCCTTCACTAGTACTAAGTAAAAGCCACAGATGCTGTGTACTGTACATACCGTTTAAATCCACAGACTTGAAACTAGCCAGAAAAGGCCACATTTACACAACTGTCTTTATTAATGCCGGCTAAGAAACCAGAGGTCACTGTGGGATATTCTCTGACAAGCAACGATATTCTTCAATCGTGACACTAAAACGAAATGCGCTGCTTATTTAATGGAGATGTTTTCAGATCTGCCACTGTGCTTGAATCGAATGTACCTATAAATATTAAGAAACCGAAAGCTACAACTCTCTTAACAACAGAAAGGTATAAGAAAATCGCGCGAATACTTCAATAAAGCAGGAATGAAAGCCTTTATTTTTTGCATTATGTTAACGATTACTGATTTGGAAATAAATAAAAAAACAAACAAATAAACAAACCGGAGTCTGAAACGAAAACCTAACCGGCAGTATAAAATATGTAAAAACTACCGAACTCTGTTTGTTGTATATGCAGCTTCACTGCAATAATCAGTATTCAAGCTACATTGCCTTCACCTGTTCTGCAAGCGAGGAACTGCATTGCAACCAGGCATTTAATTGTGCGACGGATACGACGGACATTTCTCGGGAGCTGCCTTAGTTTTTGTTCTGTTATCAGAGCATATTTCTGCATACAATGTTTAGAAGTGTGTTATGTTTGCAGAAAATAAATTAATTGTGACAGAAGACTTCCTAACATCTGTATCCTCCTTTCAGCGAGTGCTTAGCTCCTCCCCTGACAGTTAAATCCGTGCTCGCAGCCTGAGAGCGAGTTAGTCAAAGGTAATCATGGTAGTGTAACAAGGCTGTATCAAGTAAACTTTTCATTTCTTTTTTTTTCTTCTTCGTCTGATTATATCCAAAGACACGATTATGAAGACGATAATTGCTGCGTATTCCGGCGTTTTACGAGGTAACGCATTTCAGTCTCGGTTCCAGGTTCATCTTAAACGTCATATTTGAGTATTAATGTTCTGTCTTTTCGCTGTATTGTTATACAGATATGTCAATATTTCCATAGCCGATATTTGGCAACTACAGTGCGACATTGGCTGCAAGGTGGATTCCACGATGGCTGACATTATTAAACATTTACGCAAATCGTTATTTGTAGCTGACAGTTTCTGGGTGGCGTTCAATGAATTCATGTAACGCAAATATTCTTTCACAAAAGCCGTTTACAATGTAGCGCCATAAAAAAAACAAAACAAACATTTGTCAGACCTTGTTGGTGATGTCTAGGTTTTCGGTTTTTGTTTTTAACATCCTCGACTGATCTAGATAGAAAACGCTCCATTTAAAGATGCGACAGTTACAGATTTCGGACATGGTGAGGCAGACAGCACGTCTTCAAGGAAGAATAACGTACAGTATTTGAACGCGTTCACAAAATGATTTTCATGTGCCTGCGCTGCCGACGTCCGAACGAGCCCTGTCCCCTTTCAGAACTGTACAGTTTGCCTGTGTGTTCAGTCGTATTCTGTTTGCTGTAATTTATAGTGGAGTCAAAACCGGGATAAGTAGAAGTGCGGTGCATTTGTAATGAAGTTCAGTTCTTGCTAATCGTGGTAATGATGAGAAGCAGCCCTCACACAGACAGGATACCGTCTGGAAGACCTGCTAGCCCTGTGGCGTGACTGGTACCCACCGCTTCTTGTCAGCTTTGTCTATCCACCGGGATATGTATGGACAGTACTTGTCTATCCTTGCTTTTCCATCTCCTGCTTGTCCTAGGAGTGAAGTCCTGCTGTGCACCAGGCAGAGGGTATTTCCTTGATGGCATTACAGGTTATCCGGTATTGGAAGAGTTCGACAGTATACAGTATGTGAACCTGCAAATGACTAGGGGCTCAGTGCAGCTGCAAGAGAGAAGATTCCCTTTGCAGGAAGGGACTGGATTTGTGGAGGTTCTTGCTGTAACCTTTAAAGACGCAGTTTATCTGGTGCTAGTCATCTAATGTAACTCCGGTGGTAATAATACCCTACAACGTGAAGGTTGTGGTTTCTTTTCATGTATCGTGAAAGAACTACGTCGGTAACGTAATTTGAAAAATAAATTGTGCTTCCATGTTTTTTTTTAATACTGATTCTAGTCCCATATAAGATTAGATCTAAATGTTTTATTTAGATACCAAAATCTTTCCTTTTGGCAGACAAGAACATTTACGTAATGCCCAATACATTTTTATTTAACAATTTTACATTGATGGCTAGGTTTGGTGAAATTAAGTGATTAAAAAATAATGCCTCGTTTTTGCTGAATGAATTACTTAAATCAGGACAGAGTAGCTTGATTTGCAGGTCATCGTCAAAATCTGGGGTACAGTATGCCATTGATGATAAATTGATGAAGTGCATATTTTGCCTAGGAAAATGTTTCTTACACTTAATGCTTTTAGGAAGTGTGGGGTGTTTTGAAAGCCTCATATAAGCAGTGTGTTCCCAACCTTAGGTTTTCAAGCTAAATTCTTTGCTGATGAGTTGTTCTTAGCAAAGCAAGTCATTCATGTCTTCTGGTTTGTCTGTATGCTCAATGTGACCTTAAAGGGTCCTTAAATACCCCTCTAGTGTAAAATCAGAAATGCAAAACCTTGATTTTTAGAACAAACACATTTGTAGGTCAATGCTTGTTTCTTTCATTACGAAATTAAGATTGCATCCAGTGTGTCATTCCATGAATTTCTATAGTATGAAATCAAGAATGTTGTCTTCAAAGTTTTTTTTTTCTTGGTGCATTTTGTTCCAGCTTAATGTGAGACGATCATATCACATCACATGGGCATTTCAGTGTATGCTAGTGTTAATGTGAAGCAAACATTATGTATAACATGGCCCTGTTAACTCTATTACTCAGTCTGATTTTCACTTTTCTGCAAGTGAATCAATTAAGCAAATACACATTTCATCATTTCTCTCTTTTGGTTGGGGAATGGATAGCAGCTTAAACATTTGTCTTTTTTTTTGTTCCTTCTTAATGGATGTCTATTCAGCTTTACTTCCTCTTTTATAACTGCATGTTAATGTTTTGAGCACCAGGATCACAGCTTGACGACTCTTCTTCCTTGAGTTTAATTTTTCCAATCAAAGCATGAAAGTTTCATACCTGTATTTGACAATCATTTCTGATAGTGCATTGAGTACTTCTTTCAAAGGATCGAAATAGTAGATATAATGTGTCTTTTTGTACTCATTGGTGAAAAATACATGTACCCACAAGAACAATAAATGGAGCAGAAATGAATATTTTAAGTACTGATTTAAATTGCAGTATGCACACATTCTTATATAAAAGAAAATGGTGTGGTATTTTCTGGGCCTTCCCTAGAGAATAAGGTTGTGCTCACTCCTTCTGTGCATCTTTGACTGTTTGTATCTGGCTGTATTTTCAGCTGTTGAAAATGTGAATTAATTGAGCACAGTAGTTCTGTGTCATCCATGAATAGTACCAATTTTTTTAACCCTGACTTGCTGTAAGGAGCTAAACTGACCTTAGGCTGCACTCTTCGGTAACATTCTGTAGTAAGTTACCTTTAGCTTTCTACGTGTAAGGATATTTTTATAGCTTTTTGTTTTAACTACAATCCAGGAGGCTGTGGAAACAGTGCAGTCCCAGCTAACAGTGTCTTGTCTGTGGCTCGGGTACTGTACCTCTGCAGAGAGACGTGGAGAGCTCGTCTGTAAAGTGTGGTACAATGTGTTTTATTCCAGGTGCTCCAGTTTCATACCTTCTTTTAAAGGGCACACTGGCTGGGCTGATTGGATACTCCAAATTGTCCCTAGTGCCTGTGCACTTGCCACGCTATGGACTGGATTCCTGTCCAGTGTATTACCTTGCTTTGTGCCTCTGGAGTTCCCCCCACCTTTATTCACTTTAAATAAGCAGCTTTTCAATGGAGGTTCGAGGTCCTCGGTCATATTCCCTGGTGTTGTATAAATGTGGAGGAACGCGTCAGTGATAGAGCTGGACATTTGGAAAGCAGGTCTTGCAGCACCGTGTCCCCTGGATAGCTGGTGTTTGAGGTTTCAAATCATCAGCACCTGAGGAGGTGCTGTCACACTGCTCCAGTTAAGCACAGGACACTGAAATGAAATAAAAGCCCAGAGATGCTAGCCCTCCAGGACCAGATCTGAACACCCAGGTGTTCTTCAAGCGGTCATGTTGGATGCACTGAACAGCGCTCTTCTGTGGCAGGGGAATGACATGCACAGACTGAGCCTTCCAGGGCTGGTATGGGACAGCAGTCAAAAAAAAAAAGAAAACCTTCTGTGTTTCCTTTTTACCAACGGTTTGCAAATCTGTTACTTTTTTTTTTGCCCAAAAAGTGTCACTGTTCTATTCATGCTCTTTTCTTTTCACGTGATTTTGTTTTTAAATGAAAGCTCTTGACGATGAGCTTACTGTACTTCCCCAGTCACGTGAGCTCTCCGTGGGTTATAATGCGATTGCAAGCTTTAGTGAATGAAAAGATTACCGTGGAAGTTTGGACTAGGCAACTAGCTGATTATATGTGCTTTTCCCTAAATGCAACCAGAGACCCATTTGATGGGGGGGGGGAGTCTTTACCCAGGGGAGTGCTGGAATTGAATTGGTGGAAAATACTAGCTTGACTAGGTCAATAGCCTTGTTAAAACTTGGTACAAAATTCTCTCTATCACCTGTGAAACAATACAGAAGTAACTCAGAAACATGGCCTAGGGAAGTTAGGAGCCAGGGTATTGTTTTCTTCTGGGATCTCGAATCCCTGAGCAACCCAGGTCTCTTGGGATCAACCACCCCATCTTTCCTGGTTGTCCTGCCATGGTTTAGTGTCAAAGTCAACCCCCAGCTTGATGTGGTTCAGCATTTGGGTTCATTGAAACAGCATTTTACAGTATTAAAACAACATGGGCGTTTGTGACAGGACTCCTAGAGGTTCATTTTATGTTGCAGAGCTGTATCCGTGGCAACCGGGACCTTGTTGATTCTCAGCAAAGCAGTGATGAGATGGAAATCTCCTCGTCTGCAAAAAGATGGAGACTACAGACAAATGAATCCAGCTCTTAACGTGTTGTGCAGACTGGCTGCTTGGCTGTGTAACTCTTCAGCCGAAGCGGTTTTGAAGACGGAGCTAACGCTGTGTGTTTTGAAGTGAGAAATTTCCTATGGTTACCTCTGTCAAATGACTGAGTCCTCAATTACAAATCTGTCTTGCCACGATCTTGTTGAAGATTTTAAATCTGTACAGCAGAAAAGTGACGCCATTTTTGAAAGCTCTGTTCTAGCACCCAACCTCTAGACTGCGCAGTAGGAGAGATCTGACTTATTTCTCTTGGAACATCAAAGACAGAACCTCGCTGTGTGCAAGCGACGGTAAAAAGCCTTCGCAGAAAAGAGTCACTCAAAAAAAAATTGCACAAGCAAAAAAAACTCAAAACTGAGTTGCTGCCAATGCTGGTAATGGAGAAAGTGGAGAGGGCGGCCTGTAGTGACGTCACCTGTGTCCTCTTCTCCGCTCTGCGCAGGTACTGGCTCCAGCATCCTCTCTGCCTTCCAGGACCTGCCCTCGGCCCCCTGGCCTACGCGGGCGAGAGTGGAGAAGCAACTGCAGATCATCTCGGTGATGCAATGGGTCCTCAGCTTCCTCATCATGGGTGAGTTGCCGTGGGAAACCAGCGCTCAGCTGCCCGGGACACACCCCCTGCAGTGCCACACTGTCGTGAGTCGAGCCTCAGTTGTAGAGTCAAGTAATTCCTGATTGGCTGGGCTCAAGTATGTTCTGTTTAATTTTAATAAGATGAGATAAGAGCACTTTATTGGCCATTTCCTTGCATTAGGAATTTGTATTTTCGCATACCTCAACTTGCTCTCCACGAGACACACAGACAGGGAGAGAAGCTGGGGGTCAGAGCTCAGGGTCAGCCACTTACACAGCGCCCCCGGAGCAGTTGGGGTTAAGGGCCTCACTCAGGGGCCCAACGGAGTAGGATTCCTCTACCGGCCGTGGATACGAACCGGCAGTTTCCTGCCCCAGGCGCAGATCCTGAGACACAGAACCACTGCAAACTGGTTCACTTGCTTATTCACCCTGCATCTTAAGGTTCTAAGCAACTGTACCAGTATTAAAATTAAACAATTTAAAATTAAGGTTGAAAAGCTTAAACCAGTGCCTTTTGACATTATGTTGTTTGGTTGATTTAAATGCATTGCTAGTCTTGGTGCTGGCAATGGGAATTTCAGTTTTTGTTGCCCTGACATCACAGTCTACGTGCATCAGTTAAAGGGGTAAATAGATTTGACAATTTCAGCTTTCATTCCTGCAAAAGTGGACTGGAACTGTCTAGTTTGAGAGCCACTAGGAAGGTCCTGTTGGTATCCAGTATGTGGTTTTAACATTTAATTTAAGCTACTGCATACGAAGTGGTAATTCCATGTATTCAATGTTAAGGTTTCTTCAATCAGAATTAGAAGACCTCTTAAGGTGTTTAAAAGCAACTCTTGTCTGTTTCTCTAGGTGCAGCATGCACTGTGGTCTTGATGTATGTGTTTTGCACAGACTGCTGGCTGGTTGCTGCCATGTACATGGCATGGATGATCTTCGACTGGGACACCCCAACACAAGGCAAGCTACTCCGCACACTGTAAAACTATTGTTTTACAGATGCTAGAAAAAAAGTAAGCCTTAAGTATGTTTTCAAAGGTCTCCTGCCTCGCTATATGCATATCTCTCACCTAGAGTGAGCATGGGTATTGGAGATTAATAATAATGTTATAATAATGTTTCTTTATTAGCCCTATACAATTTCTTGCATTAGGAATGCGTCTTTTCGCATACCCCAGCTTTTCTCCATGGAGACACAGACAGGGAGAGAAGCTGGGGGTCAGAGCGCAGGGTCTGCCATTGTACGGCGCCCCTGGAGCAGTTAGGGTTAAGGGCCTTGCTCAGGGGCCCAACGGAGTAGGATTCCTCTGCCGGCCGCGGGATTTGAACCGGCAACCTTCCAGTCACAGGCGCAGATCCTTAGCCACAGAGCCACCGCTCCGCCCCCGATCAGGAGATGTGAGCTATGGTTCATATAAAAGAAAATGCTCTGAGGTTTAACGTGATCCAGTACAGGCACTATCTGCTTGTACAGTTTGCTGTACTCTGTTGATGTAAATTTTCTTTTCCTTAAAAAGGATTCTAGCCTTTTTTAATAGTGGAATAGTCTGGCTCATCAATCTTGGCATTGAGCTATAAAAGCATAAAAGTGACAGATCATTGCTCCATCAGGAGCTAATTTAATAAAAGTGATGTCCAATGTTCCAGTACTAAGGATGGCTTAATTGAAGGGCAAGCCTTGCTTTGAAGTTATGACTGCAGTGAAATGTCATCTGCACTTACTAGTCAAGCATTTATGTGCAGGTAGGAACATGAGCTTGCGTATTTTTAATTTCTTTCCTGCATTGCTATTAGGGGGGAGAAGATCCTCATGGGTCAGGAACTGGACAGTGTGGAGATATTTCAGGGACTACTTTCCTATCAGAGTAAGTGTTTTGCTTACAGTATGTATTCATTCCTGCTCCTATTAAGCGTATTGTATTGTGATGGGTTGTAACAAGAAAATATGTTTAATCCCTGCTGTATATTCACAACGCCCAATACAATCCTAAACAAATGTGACCATTCTGAACAAATGTCAAAGCTGGAGATTAAGAAAAAATATTCAGTGGAATATTTTCTTTTTTTGTTCCATATGGTAATAATGGAAGGTAAGGTATTTATTCAAATAGGGGAGCACAGACTATTTTTATGAGGGGAATATGCTCTAACAGAGGTTTGCCAGGCTCTGAGTATTATATCTCAGACTATTATATCTCTCCACTACCGTATCTGAAACAGATCAGGTATGGTCTCAGAGTAATTGGTAGTAAGTGCATACATGCTGAGCTGGTATTTTTAATATTAACTAGGTCTGAAGTATTTTTTATCAGTTTGCAAGAAAGTGCTGGGGACAAGAGGAGTCTTGGTCATGAGCCCAGCAGTAGATATGCTATCTGTCTGCTCTTTGCTGTCTTAGTGCTGTGCTCAGCTCCATCTCTTCATTCTGGGTGCACCTGTGTCAAGACACCCAGCAATCTGCCACGAGAGCAGGCAGTCAAGTAGACTTTGTTCTTCTGATAGGAGACGTGCCCATCTGTTATGAGTGCAGTTTTGCTCTTCTTGTACTTGGAGGCTGACAGTAGCTCCTGGATAGTGGTCTTATCACCTGAAGGTGGGGAGGGGTGAGTGTGGGGGCTGTTAGCACTAATGACTACCCACCCTACTTGCATGGATTACGGTTGTTCTTAATGGGCAAATGTAAGAGCAGATGGACAGCAAATGTAAAAAAAAACATGTTTAGTGTAGATGATAAGCACCCACAAGATATGGACTATAAATATGTAGCCTGAATCGTTGCTGATTTTGCATTTTTTTAGTTTGTAGTCCCTTACGTGTCTACTGTACGAGGAAAGTCTCACACCTCTTCTAGAACTGACGAAAATTCTTGCATACCTACTGTAGTTGTACCTGATGCAGTACTGAGATAAACATCACTGACCATAAGGAAGTCTATATATATTGTATAGACTAATTCCAATCTGAAGAAGAAAGAAGAAACAACTTTTTGAGTCTGCTTTTCGGATCTGTGTGGCAGTAATACTCAGTTAGTATTGCGTATGGATTTCTATTGATTAAATCCACTTGACCTGCATATTGTGCTTCATTTAGGCACATTTCATTTAAAGTATAGAGAAGTTATTGGATGCGTTATTAGGAATTAAAATTAAATTAAACTGGCATGTATTTAGTATTGTTTTGATTTATGGAATATTGTTTCAATGCTGTGTGAGCCTATTTGACCTGCTGTAAATAGGGCATACTGTAGTTCCCCGATTCTACCAGTATGAGAGAGGTTTTGACAGTTAAAGAACAGAACATAGTGAGATGCCAGCCTAGTGCCACGGACGAGAAAATGTAATCCCTGGTGTTCTTGCAGATTTTCAAACTTCCAGCGCCTTCACCTTGCCTACACTTTTGATGTTTGGAATAGTTTGAGGTAAATTGTTTTGCCTAGGAATAAACATAGGAAGATTCCCTCCTACTGCCCTGCCCCTGAAATTGTGCTGTAGATACAGTAGGTTAGGATATTTGGCTCCAGCAGAAACTGATGACACATCTGTGGCACAATGGCTTGTGTATGCAGTGCTGCACGTTGCTTTTAATGACCTCCTGTTAGTCACAGAATAACCCTTATAGATTGCATAACAAACCCCTTCCTTATGGTGTTGGGATCTTAAGAAATCATAGCTGTGTTGTACTGCAGTGTGCTGTATCAGTCTCAGTCTTTTACTGCTGCCAGAGAGTGATTGTGATCTCAGGGTTTTGAAACCTATTGACTATGACAAAGTGAATTTGAACAATTACTACAGCTGGAGTATTGTAAACACGTTATTAATAATGTTTAAATGCTGATACTATCACAAGCTGACCAAAAGCCGTAGCCGAGACAGTTTTGTTTCGACAAAGTGGGTGAAAAGTCAGCTAACCCAGGTAGTGACTCGATGACTAATGGGCAAGAATCTTCTGTAGTGTTGTCACTGCACTGTGAACTTTTGCCTAGTTTACGTTTCTACGTGAAATCTGGAATAACCCAGCTTTTGTGTGAATCACAGTGACGAAATGGGAAATACAGTGTTCTGACGAAGTCTTTGGTTATTTGGCAAATCTTGAACTCTGTCTTATTTACTACAGTCTTCCTTGAGTCTTGCTTGATTAAGAGAACAAGGGGCATGAATTACTCAAAGCAGCATTGAAGATCTCTGTCCTGGACAGAGCACTGAAACGTGCCAAAAGACCAAATGGTCACTTAAAACCCTCCTGTGACTCCAGTTCAACTCGTACAACAAACCATAAAACGACGAGCTCACTGCTTGAAACCAATTTATTTTGGGTCAGGGGTCTTCCCTTGGCTTCAGCTGAAGCTGGGCAGAGGTATCGGAGCAGATTAGCTTTAAAGCAAACCCATCCGATAGGTTTTTACTTTCTTCAGTTCTGCTGTCTTTTTGTATCCAGAAACCTGCCAGCTGTATTTTTAAACTAGTCAAACTATTGGCTATAGCATTTACTTAATGAGTTAATCAGCTTTAAAGCTCTGAAGTACAGTAGATGAATTCTTTAGATTTTTTTCCTTCTCTCCTTTTCTCCCCTGCTTATGTATTGTATTTAGTCTGGTGATCCAGAGAATTAGTAGATAATGTAGAACTGAAACAACTGTTGTTAAAAAAAGGAAAAAAGGTTGCGTCCACCTAGATAATGTGGAATACCTTTATCAATGTGTTTGGTAGAGTAGAATGATAAGTTCCATAAATAAATTGACTGCTTATTGTTTGGCCTAGAGTTGCAGGGGTGCAAACAACAAAGTGGTAGATTACAGTTTGCTGGCAGTTGTTGGGCAAGCTGGTTTGCTGGCAGGTGTTAGAGCAAACTCCCAAGAGACAAAGTGCAGATCTGTGGCTCAAAGTCCCCAGCTGGGTGTTGCGCAACTCCTAGCGCCCCTGTGTAGCATGCAAGGGACGCATGGCTGGATCAGTGGGTGGGGGGGGACAACTTTTAGATATGTGCCTCAGCCGGTTAGGCATCTGCATGGGATTCTCTTCTCGTGGCAGCTCTATTCGTACAAGTGGTTCAGTGGAAATGCAATTAAATCTCAGGAGGCACTTTACCCAAAGGGTTGTGGGAGTATGCAACAAGCTATCCAGCCACATCCAGCGTCTTTCAAGAAATGGCTCGATGAGACTCTTGGATCAATTCACTACTAGCTGCTAAACATGCTGGTTAGACTGCATGTCCTTCTCTTATGTTATTTACTGTATGTATACCCTTTCTTAAATTCTTACTAGGATTTTTTCCACTTTCAGTACATACAGTAAGAGTATTATTGAATGGGCACCATTCAATTAATTCCGGACAGTCTGCATCTTCTCCTTCAATTTGCTTTAGTATAGTTCAGTGAAAAAATGTCCTCGATATTCCTCTGGTGTAGAACATCAGGAAGGAACCTAAAGATAGTGACATAGCAGGATAGCAAAGGTAACTCGTTTCCTTGCCATCTGGATCATAAAATTTAATTGTTAATGTATTTTCTTTAGACTGAAAGCAACTTTTAATTTTCAAGATGTATCCTTAGCTCGGTGGTCCTTACTTTATTCTAATTTTTGGAACACTAGATTTCTTTCTAGTTGGAACACATTTGCTATGTATAACATTTCAAGCAACACTAAAATAATTCCCATTGTACGTGAGCAGACCCTGATTCTGTAACATGATTTATTTTCACACTAGTCTTTAGCACCTAAGTTAGGTAACTTTATTTGAAACTACACTGAGAAAGTGAAAATCTAGGGATCGTTTCTAATACTGCAGTTATGTAAAAGATTTAACGAAGTTTCTGTGTGGGTTGTGCACGTGCCAGTGGTTTAGAAACTATGTCGCAACCACATTCTGTTGAAATTCACATACATACTGCATACATGCATCACTTTCGGATATAATACTATGGCATAGAGTGTTAGATGCATTTTCTTTAATCAGGCCAGTGGACAAAAGAATTTTCAGCAAGATTTGTAGTCTTCTGAACAAGCAATCCCACCTTTGAATGCATAATCCCTTATTTGCAAAGAGAGAATTCCTGCATTTAGCCCTAAAAACCGTGCTAATTGTGGCTGGCAGCATAGGTGAATGAAAACTATTAACATATTTCTCCTCTGTCTCCAATATACCATTGATCGTGAAGAAATGCAGTTTCTGCGAAGCTGCAGACTGGAGGAGAGTGCATGAGAGAACGTAACTATAGTTTTCGCTTTTCCTGCATCTTGTTTTGCAGCTGATTAAAACGCACAACCTGCTGCCCAGCAGAAATTACATCTTTGGCTATCATCCCCATGGCATCTTCTGCTTCGGAGCATTCTGCAACTTTGGAACAGAAGCTACTGGGTTTGGCAAGAAATTCCCTGGAATCCGCCCCTCGCTGGCCACGCTGGCCGGCAACTTCCGGCTGCCGTTGCTGAGAGACTATCTCATGTCTGGAGGTGAGCAGCCAATGCACGATGCAGTCAGTAGGTGGGGATTTTACAGTATGTACAGTAAACCAATGAACTTGTGCTGAACATGGGTTGTTTCCCAGTTAATCGCGAGCTGGGTTGCACGATGCCTTGTATAACATCTCAGTGAAGGATTTAAAAATCTGTCAGGGAAAAAAAAAAGGCTGGATATACAAAGCTAAGGGAAAAGTGCTGTTGCGACAGAAAGCACTACATCAGGGAGCATTGAGCTTTGCCCTCTTGTACAGCTGGAGAGCAGAGGATGTGCTCATGTAACAGCTGTAGCCAGTTGCATGCTCTTGCTTAAGTTGGGTTCATTGATTTGGTTTTATCAGTGCCGTCTTTACAGTAACCACGGGAGTTTGTTTCGGTCTTGGATCAATTGCAGTCCAGGGCCTGGGAGAGAGAGAGTTCGGCATTTAATGGGGAAAATTGTTCAGTTTGAACATGAGAATTGTGACATTATCATACGAACGATTATTAAACCAGGCTTTGACTAGAAGTAATTTGTGCTTTTCTCAGAGCTGACCTCAACAATGCCCTTTTTTTTCCTTAGGCATCTGCCCTGTGAACCGCGATTCCATCGATTACATTCTGTCGCGCAACGGGACGGGCAACGCGGTTGTCATTGTCGTTGGGGGCGCCGCGGAGTCTCTGGACTGCGCCCCGGGCATGAACTCGGTCACCCTGAAGAACCGCAAGGGATTCGTGAAGCTGGCGCTGCAGCAGGGGTAAGGAGAACGCCAGCGAACTGGGCTTCCCAGGTCTTTAACTGTGACAAAGTCAGTAGCCCAAGGGACCCCTGGAAGAAAGGTTTACCATCTGATGGGTTGATAGTAGACCGAAAAACACAACTGGGCACAAAGTGTGATGGGTATTTATTTATACAGCTTTATACTGTAAGTTCAAGTTTCAAGTTTCAAGTTTATTGTCATTACACTCATATACATGGTATATGGTATAACGAAATGCTATTTAGCTAGCTCTCGGACATAAGTAGTACAAGGAGAAAAAACAACAACAACAACAATACAATTGTGTAGCAAAAGAAAGACGGAGACAACAGGCAGTGTGCAAAAAACAACAACAAACGATGTGCAAAAAAACAAAAAAAACAAACAAACAAAAAAATGTAGTACCCGTCCAGTAACTACATTTGTTTGGATCCTGAGCTTGCCCAAGCTGCATAGACTCATTTAGAAACTCCACCACCTGGCTGGAATTGTTCTACAAAGATTTTAGAACGCTTGCAGACAAACGGTGAAGAAAATGTCATGTCATTAATAAAGTACACTGTTCAAGCTCTTTTACTTTTGTGCCAGGCGCTGCAGATGGAGTCTGCAGACAGACTGCAGATCTTCTTCAGCTGTGTTGAAAGTGTTGGTGAACGCCAGTTTGGTTTGGCGTTCTTTGTAGAGCTTTGTAATTTCAGCCTGTTTAATTAAAAGAATGGCATATGTACTCGGCAAATCCCTCATGTTATGGCCTAAAGAAGCTTAAGAATTGATCTTTCCGAACAAATTAAGTTTCTCGCAGGAGCTATCACCCCGGGGGTTTCTCGAACATTCCTAGACCTCTTATTTAAAGTCATGTGCAGGGAAACGGTCAACTGACTTGTTAAATCTGGCCCAGGATTTTGCTTTGGCCGGGCGAGCCGGTCTGGAGAGGAATCCTCTCAAAACAAAGGAACGCAGGTCTGTTCGAGTACTGAATTGAGAAAATGTCGTCCGGGATGACGTTCAGGAAGGCCTTGCGGATTAGTATTTGAGCCCTTGGGCAAAGAAGCGTCTCCCGCGGGTGGGGCAGTAGGAGGAGGCCGGAGGGCAGGCACAAACCCAGTGGCAACTGGTTTCTTCTTCCCTGGCAGTGCTGACCTCGTACCAGTGTACTCCTTTGGTGAGAATGAAGTGTACAAGCAGCTGATCTTTGAGAAGGGTTCCTGGGGGAGGCTGGTGCAGACGAGGTTCCAGAAGCTGATGGGTTTTGCCCCCTGTCTGTTTCATGGCTGCGGGCTGTTCTCTGCGGACTCCCGGGGCATTGTGCCATACTCCAAACCCATCAACACAGTGGGTAAGTACCCTTTGCCACATGGCTCACTGTAGCACTGGGCTGTCCTGCAGAGCTCCTGTGAATGATGGGTGGCCATGTGGCTAACATTCTTCCATTCTTGACCATAGCTCTGACTTGAAATGGGAGAAGAAGCAAAGCGGACCCTTTATAGCTTAGTGTCAGGGATTTGTGTTAGGAGATACACCAGCTGACTCAACTTTGAAAGCCATGATGACTTAGCAGTTACCAAGCAGTTCAAGGCTTCAACTCCCCACTTTCATGCAATGAATCCAAAAAGAGGCCATGATCAATATTTACACAGAAGAACGCCGAGGTTATATTAATGTTTAACACTACGACATGCTTTAAGGCTTGCATGCTGTAATGATATTAGTAGTTCATCTTTTCTGTAAAGGCCAAGTTAGCGATGTGCATTAGAAATGTTCTCATGGCTTTTTTGAAACCAGGTTTCAACCAGGTGTCTTCCAGAAGATGTTTTAACAAGAATCTGAAGATTCTTTAAAAAAGAAACCACGTTAAACCAGACCAGTAAGGAATTTGAGTAAATGGTGCAAGGATCTGTATTCTGCTGCATTGTCAGTGGCAAAAGCCCACTTGAGTACAGCTAACCTGTGAAATATCTTGGTTTATTTTTTATTCCATAGTTGGAGAGCCCATCACCATCCCCAGGATTGAAAACCCAAGCCAGGAGGAAGTGGACCAGTATCACACCATGTACATCAGCTCCCTCCTCAAGCTTTTCGACAGGTACAAGACCCGATTTGGCCTGGCTGAGAGCGACCACTTGGTGATCCACTGAGGGGTGTGGATCCCCTGAGGGACTCGTGGCAGCTGTTCAGTTTTTCCCCTTGACAAGTGCCTGGCTCCAAGATTGGCTCAATTAAGAATTTTTTTTTTTTTTTTTTTGGTCCATACTCATGGTGCCATTCCAGAAAACCCGGGTACACTATTTCCTTGAGATGAAAGTGCAGCGTTTTGTTACCCACGCTAAGTTTCTAGCAGAGGAAACTCTTACTGGGTGTAATTCACGTGCATGTTACCCCAAAATGCAGTTGAGCGGATCTAATGTGTGCTTAGTGGTTTAATAACTGAGCATTTCAGTGTTCCATCCCCTCTCATAACATTTGGAAACGACAGAGGGGACTATAACAGATTCTCTCCAGCAACTGGATGGTGCGCTGCCGAATTCAAGAGAATTCTTAGCTGGAGCTGTTCAGTTCCCCCACTAGGTGGTACTATAGCTCTGTCTTCAGGTATTCGGATGTCTGGCGTATTAAAATCCTCTATTTAAGAATGTATTTTTTGTAGTTGTTGCTAGGGAAAGAACTGATCATACTCTGAGTTATGCAAGAACTTCTGACTAGTTCTATAAATCAAAACAAACAGATCAGGTAGCTTGTTTTTAACCAATGAAACAAGAGGACCCAAAGGTTTAATTATGACACATGACATTCTTGGTATAAACTCTAGGTGACCTGAAAAAGCTAATTATTCAAGAAATGTTTAAGGCACTTTTAATACACCGACTTCTTCATTCTAGTGTAGTTTTAATTTGCACAATTCTGGGTTGTTCTTTCAACTAGTATAGGATATTTTTAAGAAAAATGCACAAACAATGCAATTTTAAAGGGGACTTTGCCCTGTATAAGATATTGGTTGTTTTAAAAAAACAAAACAAAAGCCAAAGAACTGTTTCTTCTGATGTGTATATACAGCCTTTATTCTGCCTGAAAGTTCTGTCGCTGTAAGTTCAGTACTGGGAATGTGTTTCAGCAGAAGCAAGCAAATCTGTGTGGAAGCATAACAAGATTGTGTTGTACAGTTGTGAAGATCTGTGTACGTATGCTGTGATTTAGTGATGCTGTTGGAACGTGACCTGACCTGAGGTTCAGTTTTCTGTTTTTGATTAAGCTACTGGACCATAAGTACAATTTACATTTCCTCATGTTTGCACTGATCGACTGCATGCATGTTCGTATCTGAAGTTCACGGTGATTAATATACCTTGTCCTCTTTTAGTCTGTGTGACTTTAAAATCCGTATTTCGGTGAAAGGCTGAGGAATATTCTTTGGGTCCCTGACCGTGCTGGTAGTGTTGGTAGACTTGAAGTTGGAGCAAATGTTTGGAGGGTGGTGGTTTAGCTTGATGATCACTTATAAAACGTCTGAGGAAGTGGATTGCAATAAATAATGAATGTTTGCAGCAAGACCTAAAAAAGCTGCTTTATTTAACTGAAGGGTGTTTTACACACAGATGTTATTGGCTCTGTAGTAAAAGTATCCTTGTAATTCAGTATTTCTTGTTAAGATGTATATCCAATTTTGCTGTATTTTTGCCAAGCTGTTCAAGTATTTCCTGTTTTTCTAAAGAAGTTTACATGTTAAATGGATACAACAATTGAATGTCAGCATTTCAAATATTGGAATAAAGCTTGCATGCTTTTCCATCTTGACCTTTTTGCCGGTGGATTTATCACTGTCTGATTGTTAGGTACAATGAATACTTCAATTATTTGAAATGTCGTATATGCTTTATATTGTCTTTCTAGTCTAAATCTTTTTTTTTGGATTAGTTTTCTATGTTTAAAGAATAAACATGAAATCTGCCTATCTCCGTTGATAATGACTTTGCATTTGTGCTTTTTGCAAATATAGGATAAAATCACTTTATTGACCATGTACAATTTCTTGCATTAGGAATTTGTCTTTTCGCATACATGAGACACACAGACAGGGGGAGAGGCTGGGGGTCAGAGCGCAGGGTCAGCCATTGTACAGCGGCCCTGGAGCAGTTGGGGTTAAGGGCCTTGCTCAGGGGCCCAACGGAGTAGGACTCCTCTGCCAGCCGCGGGATACGAACTGGCAACCTTCCAGCCACAGGTGCAGCTCCTTAGCCCCAGCCACTGTACTGCCCCCTGGGGCTATAGACTCTGGGGCTCCTACAGATCATACTGTATGTGTATATATTATATCCTGAACTAGGTGGTGCCAGGTTACAGCAGGAACATGAATGCTGCTGGACTATAAGAAGAGTTGCAGTACAGGTGCGAGGATATGGTTCCTCCCATCTCGCTTATTTGGTTGGAAAACTTCTTAATCTAAAATTTCTCTTCTGTAAGACTTCTTCGGTTCTGGGAGTACGGGCTCTCGCTTGCGCGGAAAAGTGTTATAGTTCTGTGGGAGGTCAGTAGTGGCCCTGGCTTGCTGCTTAGGGGTCTTCCCGTGTTTTACACGATCCTGGTGCCTTCAGTGCAGAGTCTGCACGTTCTCCTCGTGTTCCAGGTGCTCCGATTCCTTCCCTGCTTCCAAAGACATGCCGGTTAGGCTTATGGGTGTTTCTAAAGTGCACTCCAGTTTACTGGCATGTTGCCTAGCATGGTAGTTCTGCCTTGTACCCCATGCTTCCAGGACAGGTCGGGTTCTGGGAGGCTCCAGCCCTTACCAGGAATAACCAGCTTTCTGATACCCTTCGAATGGAAGAGTAAGTCCATATACCTTCTTGTTTTCCCCGTATTAAGACGCATCCACTTTTTGACCTGGAATATATTACTCTGATACTTCCGTTTGCAGGTAATGGGGTGAATGAAATGTCTGAACTTGCATGTGCTTCCCTGAATCCCAGCAATAAATTAACTTTTGGAGTTTTACTTTTACTTCAGCTGGGAAATTTCCAAACAAACAGTGTGGTGAGGTAGACACTGTGTATGGAGATAATGTGAAAGGGTTAATAAGATTGTGGCATCTCTAGTGGATAAAACCAACACCTGCTAAAGGCCTACTGTGCTATTTCAATCCACAACATGAATATAGAGGGTTTAAAGTACAGTAGTAGTTTAGCACATTAACGACACAGATTAATCATTATCCTTAAAATAAAAATTAATCAGAATGGACTGCACCATACAATAAATTTTACATCTACAGTGAAATATTTATAGGGCTGTCACATAATGCTGTCAGAAAAAAAGATGCATTGAGTTTAGGAAGCAAATTGATAGCTCATAACAACCAGAGTCACAAAAGTAAAGATACTTATACTACTGTATTTTAAAGATCAATCAGTTTATTTAAATGTTTTGCATATTATCTCCAATATAACAGGGCATGCGCACAAACTGGAACCAGGTTCAAGAGCCGGCACAGTTTGTTTTCTGTAGAAGAGGGATCTCAAATGTAGTTCCTGCAGGACCTGCATGTCTTCTGTGTTATATTTCACCCACTTTCTCATTAACAATGTTGGCCTGTTTATAACCTGGCTCCAAGGACATCTATTGGTCACTGTAACTTTAATGAAATGAATGTCTTGAGTGATCAACTGTAAAATTTGTAATACAAATAAGTTAATTCCCTATTTAGGCTTAAACATAACGCAGAAGACACAAGGCCCTTCAAGAACTGTGTTTAAGACCAATGCTTAAGTTCTCTAAAACCACACTTAACCATAACTTACCTCTGTTCACCTTAAAACCAGCCCATTCATTTATCACTACATTGATTATCTCCTAAAAATAATTGATAAGTGTACTTGAAAAGCTCAATAACATCATTACTTTAAATCCTTCTGCAGCTCATCTAGACTGTCAGTGTCAACAGCAGTCCGGTTAAAATCTTATTTTATCTTAGTTCATCCAGTACAGCCTCCACCCCCTTATGCTTATAGACCCCGACGTCATCAGTGGACAAGTAGCAATTGACTTCATCTGCAATGAAGACACAGACCGGTTCAAATGAAAGCTGATCACAGATTATAGTCTCCAACCAGCCACATCTGTCCTATCACAGTGCTGCTCCTGCAGAAAGAATTGAAATGCACAGATAGCAGACTGCTAAAACTCTTCATTTAGAGACATGGACATATCAGTAAATTACGATCATACAAAATGATATCTTGCCGAGTAGTAGATAGAGAGATCTAGCCAAAAGTTATTATATTTACAAAGACACTAGATACACTTGAAAGTAAGGAAGTCACAGAGAGCTTAACATACTGCCCATCAACCATGACCCCAGAGAAACTCTTATCACAGAATGATTAATGCAAACCCAGATCCTGATGTTAGAGGACAACCTACCTCTGAGAAATTAACCTGCTCAGGACTGTCCAGTCCTTGTCCTAGAGGGTGGGTGTGCCTGCAGGTTTCCAGGTCTTTTCAAATCGCCAGCACCTCAGCAACAGTGAGAAACCCTAGAATCGGTCCAATGAAATAAACAGTCTCTTAATTAGTTGCGTAGCAGTGAACCTGTGCACACATGAACCAGGCCAAGTATCAGACATACTCTGTGCTCAGCACTTCTTAGCTGTGCTGCAGATCTGTCCGGAGGCTTGAGGGATATCCCCTGGGCCCCTCCCTACCTGAGGCGTGAGACTTCACAGGGGACAGCGTGAAGCAGGTGACACTGCCAGCGCTGTACCAGTCTGCTGGAGACTGGAGCAGCAGTGACGCCACCTGCCCGGGACACCTCCCAGTCCAAACGTGCTGTCCATATTGGAAACTAAGATAGAGAGGCTCACAGCGAGAGAAACAAAACTACCCTTTTCTGCACTACTGTGTTCGGAATATATTATTGCCAACAGTGGTCTAACTAAAATGTCCATTAACACCTAATCAAACTCACTGTAATGTCGGTCCAATCTCATGCAGGTGGGGATTGGCCAAGACTGTTCTGTCAGTCTCAGTTAATAAATAAACAATGACAAAACAATACTGGACAGGGCTAGAAAGGTCGACGACTCCTACGGCACACACACACAAAGCTAGTTGTACACTGGCAAAACGCATTTAAGACCCGGGTTAGGTTATCCCCTTAGCTGGATATATGACACGTTTTTCACCCTTATGCTTTAGTAGAAAAAATGAACAGCAACTACACAGGGACAAATAACAAATATACAATACCCCTCACGGTTTCTTAGCTTTCGATTCCGTTGTAGACGATATATATATTGTGCAAAATTAAGAACGCGTGTGAGGTTAGCTGCTCTCTGTAAAACTCACTTTTAATTTTACTGTACGATCCAGCTGCAGCTATAGTGCTTTATATACTCTTCCTTTGATGGTCTGGCTAGCGCCTCGGCACAACCCAAACCGGCTCACCCATTAAAGAGTGCACTGCACTGCACTGCACTGCACTGCACCGTACCGTACCGTACCGTACCGTTCCGTCCCATGACTGTCAGGTCTTTCCTGCGGCCACAGCACTAACTCCGAGGCAGATCGCTTTATCAGGGCAGTCCTCCGCCCGCCTCGTCGCTCGTGTTGACAGGAAAACAGACCCCGACATGAGTTCCTGTTGTACTGGATGCCCCGCCCCCTCTCCCGTCCCCCGTGATTGACACCAGAGCGCCCAATCAGCTGCGCCGCGTCTTCTACGTCCCAGCGCCTCACCGTGATCGACGTCGGCGCCACTCAATCGGAGCGGGGCCGGGGGGCTTGACGCCGCACGGCGGGGTGGGCGCAAGGTAATGGCTTCCTGAGCAAGTCTCACTTTGTTTATGTCGCGGGGTTGCCGACAGCCAAGAGGAGCCCGCGTTCGCCGAAGTCCGTGCTTGTTCCCCCCCGCGTCTGGTGGCGATCGGCAGGCGAGGCCGCTGTCGGGGCAGTCGGGGCTCGGGTGGACGGGGGATGAGCTGTTGTCTTGAATGAAGCGGATGCCCCCATAGTCCCGTTAGGAGGATGAGCTCCGTCGCCGGTCGGGAAATCGTCTCTGTCAGTAACCCCGGAGCCGCAGCATCCCGGGCCCTGCATGTCGAGCTCAGGTCCCAGCAGGTAGGGCAGACCGGGGGCACCTCCGTCTCACCCGCCGCGGGGGCGCCGCGACACGGCGGCTCAAGCCGAGCGCTGCGGGCGAGGAGCGGGTCTCAGCCGCGCCACTAGCCCCGGGCCTGGGCAGCTCCCGCGACATATGCCCGTGTGGACGTAGTGTCACCTGGGCGCGGAGAGGGGGGGGGGAGAGATCGCCGATGAATGACCCAGTCGGTTAACGCACAGGGCTTGCCCGAGCCCGTGAAGTGGGAGTGGTGGGACACGCACTGGACAGCCCTGGAGCGCTTGCGAGAAGTCAGTCCGGCTTGAGTCAGATGTCAAACCTTGCAAGTGCCCTCCACGAAATCGCCCCCCAAGATGAATGAATATCTGAGGTCCACCTGCGTGTTAGGAGCGCTGTCAGGTTGTTTTCTTTCTTTGCGCGAACGGGAAAAAAAAATAAGGCAGAGCTTTCATTTCTTGAAACAGAGCGCCGTAGTCCCCTGTGTCGCTTGTGCTGGGGGGGGGGGTCAGCACGTGTCTGGGAGAGTATCCCACTTTACCGGTGTCACTTCATCCCGCCGCTGGGAGCTTTGAAGCGTCTTGTGCTGTGTTGTGACAAAATGGGTTGTGAGTGTTTTCACCTCCGGTATTTCTGTCTCATTGAGTCCCGTTTAGCATCTTTGTCATATTTCAGTTTGGGGGGGGGATTGCAAAATTACTTTGCACTCTTGAATGAATGGTAACATATTCCTGAAGTACTATGGATCGTTGGGACAAACAACCTTCTGCAATTAACCCTTTTCACCGCATTTGACACCCTTAATATGAACGGTTGCCCTTTGAACAGCTCTGTTGTTACCCTTGCTGCGTAGAAAATGATTCTGCTCGGCTGTGCACTGCTTAGTTTGATTCTCCCCTGGAGTGTGCACGTTGCACCTAATGCATGACAGTGTGTTTTTGGATAGAGCTGCTGGATATGAGTATTTAGCTACTTCTAATTTTCCAATGGTTGATTTGTTTACTAGCTTGTTTCGTTGTAACTTAACCTAGCTATGAGTTTGCTCCGAAGTGCACCAGTCCCTAACCTGAAAAGCTCGTCCCAGCAGGATGTGCCCTCCTCTTTTCTGTCATTGTCAAAAGCAGAGCAGAAATTCAAGTGGTAACGTTTTACTGCGACTGTAGAACTTCTTAAGTGAGCACAGAAGACCTGTTACTGATTTTACGGTGAGAAAAAAAAAAAGGAGCCCGTGGGTTATAAACCTTTCCCCTCTGGGTTAACAGACTGTTTTTTATTACTTGTCCCTCCTGAAACGTTAGCCTACGTGATAACTGTGGGACGTGTCTCTCTGTATGCAAATACCTGACAGCGCCTCAACCCGCACAGCCATGGAGCATGGAAAAAAAGGGAGATACAAAGTCTTCTCGAGTCCAGTGGCTGTAGGCATTGACAGACAGGTAGGGGAAGATGAAATGTGGGTTAAGGGGGTGTATGAGTCTGTGCAAACGCATTTTGTTCTGGTGAGGCAGGGGGTCTGTTGTTCGTTAACTGGCGAAAAGCCTCAGTCCTGTTAGGTGGCCCAGTACCCTCCTGTCATTTGTAACCTTTCCGGTGTTGTCAGTTGGAAGGTGTGTATGCAAAAGCAAAGTGCCAGGTGCCTTAAAACCTCTTAAAAAAGGAGACCATTTCATGCAGTAGTACATCAAATAACAAAATAGGCATGCACCACTGAAATTGCGCTTTGAAATGCATTGACTTGAAAGGTACTATAAGCTGCTATATAAAATTATCATCCTGTATTACCAACAGTTTTTCCTTTTTTTGAGTATGTTTAATTTTTTTTTATGAATTAGACTACGGATCATAAACAATTGAAACAACTGGCCTCTCTTTCCGAATTCATTCTCAGATTCTGGAAATGATACCAAGCTCTGTTTTAACTCGTTTACTCCTCTCTGCATTATTTCGTTAAGCCCCTGATTGTTGTCCGTGGCTTGGTTGATTGGACACGCAGCGGTGAAACTTATTGAATCAGCTGCCGTAATGGGGCCTTGGCGTCTACACTAACCCTTTCATAAAGGGTAGCAACCTTTCAATGCGATTTCTGAATGCCTTTCACCGATTTCAGAAGCATCAGTAATGCAGTACAGTATCTTCTGCTTATTGGTTTCCAAATTCATGTAAAAAACCCATTGTACTCTTAAAGGCACATGGATGAACCCCAGACCTAAGCACTGTATGGGCTCAACTATTGTTGAGAACACACAGATAAGTTAGATGAGGTTAACGGATAAACATGCCTGTGTATTTTTGGTATATGAGGTTTTCCTGGTGCAATATGAACAAGCTTTCATTTATGCTGGTCGCTGATGGTTGAGAAACACTGGAACAAATGTCATTTGTTTAAAGACCTAGACTTACAGGGAGCCCCATGACTTAGATTTATGCTAATGCCTGCAGTAATTTTCTGTGGTGGTAAGTCTTTGGCTGAAGAATGTAATTCACAGGATCAGCCTGAAGTTAAGTGGTAGAAATTCCTTAATAAGTGGTTCTTTGCTGGTGCCCAGTTGAGCCTAGAAAGGTCTGTTTGTTTTATCTTTTTTCCTATCAGACAATGAGTACGGTCTTCCATTAATAAAGTTTGCCAAGCAAACTGCAGACATTAGGGCTGTTATGGTGGTTATGGTGGTTATCAAAGGCATCCTCCCCTAGAAGTTTGTCAGGAATAAATGCTTCCTTTTTTTCTTCATTGTCTTAAGTATCGGTTTTCTGTTAAACCATATAGAGGCAGTTACTACATGTCTGCACAGTAACAAAAAGTTGCTAAATTAACATTTTTGAAATTCTGTTTTAGGATTTAATTTGTTTTGCAACAGTTGTGTAGCTGTCTGACGGGCTATTTCTTGTTACGGCGTATGAATGTGCCATTGCAGATTGCGTTTAATGACCGTTACATCGTATATAGAATTATATAGTGAAGTACAGATTTCATCTTCCTTCGCCAGTTGTATCCTTATTATAATTAACATTTCCATACTGCATGATTTATCAAAGTATGTGTAGAATAAAAATAAGTAACAGCCAGCTGTTTAACTGGTTAACAGCTCAAATACTTTTGGGCCTGTCCTGCAGGGAGCTCAGTTACACTGTTTGTTAACGCTGGTCTCTACAGAATAACCATGAGTAGCCTCTGCCGAATAACCAAGCTGTGTTGAGTTAAGCTCACCATCCATTCTTCTTGGGAAGGCCCAGCCCCCTTACATGCCTGGTCTCTGAATTTTGAAATCATTTGCGTTTGTCTTCCCCCCCCCCCCGTGTGACCTCCTCGTTAAGTCTGTACCCCGTTTCTCTCACAGCGTCGCTTGCGACACCTTCGGAGCATCGCGGCCCGCAACATCGTTAACAAGAATGGATCCCACCTGCTGGACACCTACTTCACTCTGCACCTGTGTGACGATTCCAGAATCTTCAAAGGTGACGGGTGTTTTCTAAGCAGGAATCACTGGAGTCCTCCGTGTTCCGCTCCACTTATCACAACAAGGCAAAAACCAGTGGCATTTTTTCTTTATAATGATTATTCCACAATTTTTGCCATTTCAGTTTTTTTAATATACCTTTGTAGTTACGTAATCAAAACGCGTGTGGGAGGAAAACCCTTTAAATCCATTTTTATTTAGGTAGGAACCTAAAACTCTCTGTTGTTTGAGAATTTAATACTTTTAGCCAAGCCTGGAGCGCATTTCAAACAATACTCTTCCAAGCAGCTCCTGGTAACCATCAGACTTTTTTTCTGAAGCTTGTCTTTTTTTCCCCCACTCTCTCACTTGCAGGTTTTTACAAGAGCGAGGTCATAAGGGACTCATTGGTAAGTACTTTAAAAATAAAATAAATCAGAAATCACACTGTATAAAAAGCTGATTATCACCGATAACCTGAACTCGGGATTCCCATCTCCTATCATTGGAGTCCATAAACCAGCAGGTTTTTCTACATCTTTTAAAAGTAACTAACAGCTCATCGCCTGGGAGGAGGTTCAAGCAATTAAGTTTTAACTAGACCAAATAGTCCCTTCTTTACAGCTTTCTGCACCCGATTAGTTAAAATGACCTAGACAGCCTGCCTCATGATCCCAGTGTTTAGAATTGGGAACAACTGACCTAAAGTATCTCTCTCATTTACCATTTTACCATTTGCCATTGTACTGTCATTTGATGTGCTGTTTTGCGAATGTCAGCACTGGCACCATGATGCAGTGACCAGTGTCCTCAAGTCTTTATTGTCCCTCTTTGTGAAGACGAGAGCGGTGAGTCTGCCCAAGAAAAAGAAGCAAGTGAACCATTTGGGACTTCAGAGACTGTGTGTTAGAACTGATCGAGTAAACACTGTTTCTAAAGGAAGTCTAAGCATGGTAGTCCGTGGCTAGTTTCTTTTGTTCAATTGTTACGTTAAAATAGGTTAAAAAAAAAGGAAGCACTTGGTTGCATATCGCTTTTCTTGGGTAGAGATGTCACCTTCCGACGCGCAGCTGAAACTTCACGTCTGGTAGTGGTAGTACTTGACTGCAGCATGAACCATCTGCAGAAGGTTAGCCCTCACCAGAGATCAGGAGGTGATCTTCCATCTGTTAGAAACGGTGCTGAAGAGTGGAAGCTCTGTTGGTCTGTACAGAAATCTTGGTATTTTAAAGGCATGACCATGTGGCTTTCGTTTGCAAGTATCTAGATGGAGCATCAGTTGATTACTATGGTAATTCAGAAACTTTCCATAGTTTTTTTATCTGTACTTGCAGTGGGTTCTAAACTAGTTAGCTCTTGTCAGCCATAGGGGCTATAAATGGATGCATCTTTCATGTTTTGTTACGGAGCATTTGGTAAGATTGACAAAGCGAGTTTGTTTTGGAGGAAGCTGCTGTAAACAGCTTTGTGCATTGACATCACTCGACACCGCACAGAAGTGCTTTAACAGGGTGTTGTGGCTCACAGTGGGCTTGTGTTAGCTTTTTAGAGGGCAAAAAAGACAACGACGAAAAAATATACTTTTTCACTCCAACGTCTGCCTTTCATGAGAACAAATATGACAAAGAATCAGCAGAGGCAGAGTTTTGTTCAAAAACATTGCAGGCGGTCCAGGTTTTTTAAAGTTAGCCAGAGAATGGGTGAGGATATAATTGTCTTTTAGGTTCATAGGTGGAAATGTATAAGCCACTACAGGTACTTATATCTGGGCTTATTGGGCTGCCATGCTGCCTGTTGTATTGCTGATGCTACTAATTAAGTTTTCGTCTTGTACTGAGAGCTATCCTGCTGCAGATCTCTGGCAACCCACACATATAGTTTTAATGCTTTAGCTTGGTGAGGCTCTTCTGGTTAAACTTCCAAATAAGCCTTGGAAGAAATCCCCCTGCAAAGTCGTCTTAATCTTTCAATCTCTTTCCTTCTCCATCGCAGCAGGGCTATGTGATGACAGATAGAGATTCACAGGGCAAACTTTATTTCACATTGTTCCTGCTGTGGTTTGCCGTCCTTTCAGACGGGGGGAGGGCTCAAAGTTCACAACATTCCAATTCCTTGTTTCATTTTTGTTTTCTAAGGAGGGTGGCCATGGGTATTGACACGACACAACACAACAACTTGTGATCGTTTTAAGAGTAATAAAACCGAATCTGCACTGTAAATCTCCACTTTAACACCATTTGATATGTAGTGAATTAGCTAGCTACGCTGTTTGACAGTTTTGCTGGTGTCTGTGCTATAAGGGCGAAAATGCTAAGATCGAGGCGATCGTGTTATTTGTGCAAGTGGCAGTGGAACGAAATTCGTTTCAGAGACCTGGCTGGTGTAGATTGGCTGCTGTGTAAAAATAAAAACCGAGGTGAGTGGAAGCCATGCAGATCCAGGTTCGAGAGGGGGAAAACGAGAACAGTATGGTGAGAGTCAGGCTCTGCTGCACCTGCGACCAGTGCTGATTGCAATGTTAACTGCAATGGGCAGATCTATAACGGGAGTGACTGACGTGCGGGGCCCTTTTTGGGTCAAAAACATGTCAGAACACACGTTACATTTTGGACATGTGCAGCATGCTCTAGAGGTTACATGCTGTCATTCATGAATGAGGACTCGGACAGAGATCCATGTTATCTTGACACTGCTGTACGTAAGTGGTGTCTCACTGTGACTCAACAATTTCTAGCTGGGGGGGGTTTGTCATCGTTAGTCTGACCAAAAATATAAATTTAAGTCCCAGGAATTATCATGTTTAGGTTATACTGTACATGTAGTCCTGGAACAATTTCAGTTTCCTGAAATGCAACCAAATGGACCTCTCCAGAAAGAGAATACGATGTCTGGAACTCTGCTCGTCATCAGTTGATCACCCAGTAAGAGCTGTTCAGTCAGACATTGCAGCTAACAAGCAGAGGAGAGGCTGTGTGCTGTTCTGTTAGCTGAAGTTGTTGGCACCCTAGACGTTGGACATTTTTGACGCTCAAAACTGACAGAAGAAAGAAAGTTAAATAAAAATCTTGGCAAGCAAGCAGATCAGTTAAGTCCTCGGTTATCACTGGAGATGTTGATCTCAGCTGCAATGAAAAGCAGTAGAGACACATTATTCCTCCAGGACCAGGGTTGGCCATTCTTTCCCTAGACTGAAGACTATGGAGCTGTCTGCTCAACTCAGCACTTTGCTGTCTGTTTTGGCACTGGTATATATCACAGTTTCCTGTGCAATCTTCTGACATCCATTTCCTCAAAGTTTTTTCTTTGTCCAAGAAAGATTATTCTCTTTCCCTTTTCCTGTTTTCCCCTTTTGAGTCTCGTAATGCCTGTTTTTATGCTGCTTCTGTCCTGCTGACAGCCTTCAGGTGTGATTTTTAGGAGGCCAGAGTGTCTTTTTGCAGGAAGGTGTGCTTGATTTCCTTTATTAACCACATGCATTGTCTCCTTCGCCCAGTACTGAGAACTGTTAGACAAAATGTATTTGCAAACAAATTGGCACACTATTTTGAAAATGGATAGGAATCACAAATTCTTTTTCTAGGTCAGAGCCACAAGGTCTATATGTTTGAAGTCCAAAATAGAAGTAGAAGACCTGCTTACCTCTTGGATATCAGACTGTTACACCTTGTTCCAGTTTAGTTTAGTGTATGTGATGCTTTCCATGGCTGTGTGCTGGGGGAACTGTGGCTGTGCAAGTAGCTCATTTTTATTGTGATGTTGAAGAGCCACTCTTGGCTGCAGAGGGAGGAGTTTCTTTAGCTGCCTGGACAAGACTTAGCCGCCCACTATCTCTTGAGTATGTAACTGCATAATCCAGCTGAGTGGAGACCCCAGAGGTTCCCTGCCATCCCAAGACTAAGGTTGCTGCTGGAAGAGGTGTTAGTGGAGCCAGCAGGGGGCGCTCACCCTGTAGTCCATGTGGTTCCTAATGCCCCAGTACAGTGACTGGGACACTATACTGTAAACAGGCGCCGTCCTTCGGATGAGATGTAAAACCGAGGTCCTGACTCTCTGTGGTCATTAAAAATCCCTGTGCGTTTATCAAAAAGAGTTGGGGTGTTACCCCGGCGTCCTGGCCTAATTTCTCATTGGCCCTTACCAATCATGGCCTCCTAATAATCCGCATCTATGAATTGGCTTCATTACTCTGCTCTCCTCCCCACTGATACCTGATGTGTGGTGAGTGTTCTGGCGCACTATGGCTGCCGTCGCATCATCCAGGTGGGGCTGCACACTGGTGGTGGTGGAGGGGATCCCCATTACCTGTAAAGCGCTTTGAGTGGAGTGTCCAGAAAAGCGCTATATAAGTGTAAGCAAATATTATTATTATTATTATTATTATTATTATTATTATTATTATTATTATTATAATAAGAAGACACCAGCGGTGTACCTTACAGCAACAGTCAGTGAGGCATACAGGATTAGGATATGTAGCAGAGAAGCAGGAGGGAGCGAGTGAGAGCTTCACAACCCATCTCCACCATTCATATTCCTCCCAACCAAACCTCTTTCAGGAATTAGACACTGAAAGGCCTAACATTATGTAATATTATGGAAAGATGCTGGGTTTTCCCCCATTTCTATGAATATACAAGTTTCCTTTTCAAATCCAAGAGGCATAGTTCCTCACTTTTATTTATTTGGGTGCTTTTTTGTTAGGAACCATTATCTGATCTGTCTGACCTGTGGAGCGTTAGTTATTTTATATAGTCTTTCTTACTTTGGCTTATAAAGATCAGTATGGTCAATGTTAGTGATTTAGTGAGGAATGGGAAAGTTGCTGAATTCCAAGACTTTTCTGTCTAAGACATTACTTCAGTTGTAAATATTTCAAGAAAATTCAAAGATAATGACCTGTTATCAAAGCTGTTCTACCTCTGTTACCTGTCACGACCTCATGTTCAGTAAGAGAGGGGAACATTCTGCAGTGCAGGACATCTTCAGCTGTTTGTCTCAACACACTAGCTTGTGTAGCAGTGTTGTCAGTACATGACTCGAAAGGGAAGTGCCGCCCATCCTCAGATAGATTGGTTTTCCTTAGTTCATCAATCAGTCATTAATGTTCTGTTGCGTCCTCAGATGCAGTTTGCCACAGAGTGCTTTGCAGATTTTGTATCGCAGTTCACAGTTTAACAACAGTGTAGCAGGTGGGCACCACGCAGAGGAAAATGGAAAGTTCACCCAGTGCCAGAAAGGACTGTTCTGGGGGTCCCAGGCCTGATGGTTGCTCCACCTTCAGGCAATGGGCTTGTGGCAGAAGATTATTAGAATAGCCAGCGGGCAATCAGTGCGCGGTCCAGGGTTGGTGTCCGGGGTCTGTAGTCGGGGGTTATTTCAGTGAAGTGAACACCATGACCAGTGCACAAGCAGAACACAACGCGATTTAGCAATATTCCCACGATTCCCAAAAATAGCTGCCATCTAATCCAAAAAGCCTATAATCCTTTTGAGGTTTCCCAATGGATTTCTGCTGTAAGAACAGTTACACCTTGAACACCAGTCAGCTGGCAGTTTTCCACACTGTGTTACCCTCTACCCCTTGGGGTTGCCACGGAGCTGCTTCTAGGGCTGCCGGGTTGGCGACCCCTGATGTGGCCTCGAAGATGGAGAGGGGGTCCCCCAGAGCGTTCGGCACCGTTCTGCCGGGCCTGCATGCAAGCAGGCTGAGGCCTTATTCGTGAACACCTCACTCGTCAGTCTTCCTGTCATATTTTGGGAATCTCAGAACCCGACATGGAGGAGTCTGGACTTCGGCATGCTGCCTGATCTGCTGGACACCTCCGTGTCGTGCTTCGTGGTGCGGATCTGGGGAGGCCAGAGGGAGCAGTACCAGCTGCTTATTGAGTGGAGAGTCAGCCTGGATGGACTGAGATACACCGGGCAGCAGGTAAGAGAGCAAACCCTACCCGTCATGTCCCCCTCCCTCGTCTGGGTGGCACCGGGAATGAAACCAGGAAGAAAACGCAAGCATTGTCGTCACTGTGATCGCAGTGCAGCGCAGGGTGGTAAACGGATCTTGGCAATGAATATTTACACTCCAGTAGTAGAAGTCATGCCAAGGGACCGTGAGCGAGGACATGTGATTCTCTTGTCAACTTCCAAAAGAACGCGGAGAGGTTAGAGAAGGTGAGGTGGCCGTTTGAGCCCTTGTGCACGTGGGGCTGTTAGTTGCTTGTGAGCCCAGGCGTCACATGCCGCTGGTTTTTAGAAAGTTCCCAGGGAGAATCGCCTTCTGCAGTGTGGCTTGGCAGCTTGTTCCTGACACCCCCTCAGCCGGGATTCCTGTTATCTGTCCTAAACGTCCAGTTACAGACCCGGCTTGCGTCTTTGGCTCGAGGAAGGAATCCGTTGGGTGAACTCCGGCAACACCTCCCGAGATTCCGAGTCTTCGAGATGGTTCCCTGCTCCATCTCCTTCAAAAGCCGTATTGAATTTTTTTTTTCTGGTTTTTGTTTTACTACAGATCCGTTCCCGGAATCCAAATGAGATCATATTTGGATTGAATGATGGCTACTATGCAGCCAGTTTTGATCAAAAGGTGAGAGATCTTCGAGAGGGCACGCTTCACAGTGCTTGCAGGAGGCATGTGCCTGACCTGTGTACATGTAAGCACAGGAGAGATACAGGCCCTCTGGATCCCTGCCTCAGCTTGTACTGCTTCCACACAGAATAGAATTAACCTCTATTAACACAAAATGTCACACACTCTTTACCCCATTTGCATATAGTTCATTTTAATCATGTAGTACTTGCTTATTTACAGTAGTTAGCTTTATTTCTCACTACTTTACATGCAATGTGTCTCTATCAAAAAGCATTGTTATTTAAGGGGATCTAATGGTACTGTAAGTCCTAAAAGGACCCTCTGCTCTAGAGTGCTGCTTTTCTAAACCCTCAGGCTTCACTAACCTTGGGTGTGTGTTTCTCTTCATTACTTTTCCACATTGAATACAAAGAGATTACTAGGCAATGACTAATTCTCCTGTTTGTGCCAGCAGTCCTCGTGTAATTGGTTGCCACTTAATACAATTAAAAGCAGGACTTCAGTTACAGATAAAATGTTTTCCTCAACTACATTTATCTGAAGCTAATCTTTCTTTTTTTCCTTGCATGTTTCTTGTGCCAGCATGAGAGGATGAGTAGTGTATTTCTTTGCATGAAACTCGCAGGCAGATTATAAAGTAAGCAGTGCAGATGGTGCTGAGAGCAGCATACCAAACTGAATGCCAAGTGAAGCAATAGCAGTTTTCTTCCCTTGAGTGCCTGTTTTTTAATACTTGAGGCAGTACAGCCAAATAACAGACAGTTGTTTGATTCTAGTCCCCTACTGAGGCATCTTCCAGCTCAGCCACTTATCAGAACATCTTCAGATAGGAGTGTGTAATTAGAGGCTATTTTGTATTTGTTTCTGTGTGGGGTGAAGGTTAGGGAGGATGTGGGGGGGATTGTCTGGTGATCACAGAAGATCATGTGGGGGAAAAAAACAGCACCAAAAGGCAGTCTGTTCAACCTTCTGAGGAAAAGGGAAAATATGACAATTCAAAGAAAAATGAATGTGCAAATGTTTCAGTGTTTATACAAGAGTGAAATTGTATAAATATATATTCATTTTAGGATCACTCTGACAGAAAGAAAAACAGCCTGCTTCAGGTGGATCAGAGTGCAGTAAGAAACTCCTACAGCGTCTTCTCTCTGCTGAGGTAAGGCTGCTCCTGCTGCTGGGATCAGAGAGATCTCTCCGCCTGTCACTGTGTGTCAGTGGGTTCACAGGGCTGACCCTGGAATACAGTCAGCAATGACTTGGCTTAAGTTCTGGGAAAATAAACAGGATTATTGCTCAGAAGTTGTCTTTTTGTGCTATGTACACTGAAGTCATGGCTCTCAAACCAGTGTCCAATAATTAAATTAATACAATTAAATCCAATCAATTTCCATTTGCTCACCCGAATGAAACTCTTATGCACACGAAGGTTTGGGGGTGATGTTGGTGAACGATCTGATTACAGGGCATTAACTCCCATCAAGACATTCCTACATACTTTTTAGCCATAACTTTCAGTTGTTTCTGGATAATATTGAAAATCCCTGCCAGGTAAACTGCAAACTGTGTTATTGTTTTACTGGCTGGTCCAGTTAAAGACTGATAAAATTGCATTGTTTTAACTGTGAAAAGCAGTTTGATGATCCTAGTTAGGAACGGTTGATGGCTTGTTTCTGATTCAGCCACAAGGGAGTGCAATTGCATTACTTTATGCATGTGTAAAGGCTGAACTGTGAATATGCCCCGACCCTGATTTTGTTCTTTGAGAACAATGAGCACCAGTTTACAGTTAACAAACTGCCTCTCTTTTCAATGTCTTATCTTTGAGTATCCAACGCAGTGTAGCAGTAGCTTTTAAGCAAAGGTTGAATTACCACCACAAATTTAGTTCCAGTTCAATGACAGGAAGTTTCTGTTCCTAGTGGGAAATGTGAGTCTGTTTCACACGGGTTAGTTGTGTTACCCTGGTGGCTCCATGTGTGAAAGGTGGCTTATGTAGGCCCTGGCATTTTAGGTGTTTAAGGGATCAGCCCAGAAGGGTTTCTGTAGTATGTCATGCTCTGGGTCTCTAGACATGTGTGCTGTGCAGTATCAAGAGATAGATTACACTTAACCTGGGAATTGGTGCCTGTCTGAGATAATTATGTGACTCAGATGAGTGCTTGAAAAAAAATCTGCTTCCTGTAAGGGCTTTACATTTCTCACCTCTTATTTTTCTGTAGATTTTTTCCCCAATGTCTTTGTTAGCATCCATTGCTCACTCTGGCTGCTCTGTTAACCCTGTATTTAACCCATGTGATCTTTTTTAAAATTGCAGAGCTGGTAAAACCCTACTTACAGGGCAAACAAGATATTTGTCAAGGATGGCTGTGAGTCTCGTCTTTGGGATTTTGCTTCTCATAGAGGGATGGAGGTGCTTGTTGTTGGGATTTAAAGCTCTTCGGCTAAAAAGAAAATCCACTTAGTAATTCATTATTGTGTGTCTGTGTGGAGCTGATATGATGATTCTAACTTTCGTTCTGCACATCTGTCTGTAGGAAATTGACAGTTTGTTCTGTATTTACTTTGTATTTCTTGTCGTTTAGCTTTTTTGAGACAATTTACAGGGTTTCTTGCATTTTCTGTTTGTTGCTTTGCTAGTTGCAGTCTGTATGGGTTTTGGTTTTTAGATGCTGGCAGTATGGAAGAAAGGAGTGTAATGTTGAGGGAGATCTCAAGAGTTAAAAAAGCCAAATGTTAAATAGTTCTACTAGCTTTAATATGCTTTTGTTTGACTCCTTGCTAAATTAAGTGTTTTGTAACAGCTTTGAAAGATTTTTTTAGTCCGGAAGCACTGCTAAAAATTTCTGCCAGCAGCAAAACAGTGCCTTTGACTCAGAAGGAACTGTTTAGGTAAAGGACATGGACAGATCTGTGGGGTTCATAGATGCTCATCATTCACTGTAATGTAAGCTGACCTGACAGGTCGCTGATGGAGTGACTTTGTATTGCGGGCTAGGAAAGGAGTTGAGTTATTACAGTGTAAAGAAGTATGCAAACCGAGGAAGAAGTGGTCAAATATCAGCTACTGAACTTCGGGGGAAAGGTCATGCAAGCGTTATGAGTGTTTGTATATTGTTGAAATAAACATCCACATTCGTTGCTGTTTTTTGACTGAAAATACCAAGTAATTGTACAAAAATGTACGTTTTTAGAAAGATTGTTGACACTTTGGGTCTATTTTCTTCTGATTGGTCACACTGCTGTCATGTATGAAGTGCTTTAATATGCAGCTCCCATGCTGGCCACGCAGAAGTGCTTTAATAAGCAGCTCCCATGCTGGGCACACAGTTGTAGACCTATTGTTCTAACTAATGTGCATTACAACCTCAGTCACAGCCAGACCAACCCCCTTGTAGATTGGTTCAGCTGTTTGGTTCATTTTCACCTTGGGAAGAAAAGACAGAAAGGTAGGTGAATCAGGGTGTGAGAGCAAGTGGAAGAATCAACATGCATACCTCTTTGGGGCAAAACTGAGTTGTTTAAAGCCGCAGATGGTTTCACTTAAATGTTGCTAAATAGAACAATTACTGCATCAGGCTCAACAAGTCCTAAAAGTATAATACTGCTTTAAGGAATAAAGGATATATTATGACTTTCATCAGTGGAATTCTGTCCGAGTGGTAAATTGTATTTATGTGCATGAAAGTATGAATTGATTTACTCCAAATAAATGTCCAGAGATGAGTGATTGATCAATGGTTTAGGTTTAAGTCACGAATGCCAGAAAGGCTCCTGGAAGCGGTTTCCTTAAGACGTAGCCGTGCTGTGGGAAGGGTCTGGTTCGGTCAAGTAGTCTTGGACGCCATTCAGATAGTGATTGACAGCATGTTGATGGATTCTGGAAACAGGAGTAGGCCATCTTTCGGCCACAGCAGCATACTGCACCATGTCAACGAAAAGGGTATTTTCTGTTAGTGTCAGAGTGTGTGCTTGTTATATCCTTAATCTTCTTTTATTTACATAGATATTTTTAATGATTATGGAAACATAAAACATTATCTAAAAGATTTATAGTAAATCTTACAAGCAAAGAGCTGCTTTAAACTGCTTTAGCGCAGCTTTTGTTTTACATAACATCCTGTAGTTCACGAGTGCTGGTTTTGAATAGTAACACTGAGGTCAGGCATTTTAGCATCAGGACCTGATTTGGAATAGTTTTGCGGGCACAGGTGGTCCACAGTTTGTTCTCTTTGGACTTCAGTAGTGTGCTGGATTTCTCTGCATGTTCGGCAAATATGTTTAAAGGTGAGCGAATGTCTTCAAATGTCTCCTTGACTTCAAGCCAAGCTTGTTTCTCTGCTGAGCTCCTCTTGAGTTCAGAGGCTGGTTCTCCAACATTGCACACACAACCTTTGATAGCTGAAATCCCTAACTCATGGAAAGGAAGAACAATTTGACTCGCGAACAGGAAGAATACATTTTCATCCGGCACCTGAGAGAGCAAATCTGAATGCATGCGTGCTTATAGACTACTGTAGGAGATTAGAATCCATGCAGAGCACAGTGGACTCGGCTGCTTAGGGAGAACCTATGTATATTCCACAGCAGTCATTCTAGAGCCCAAATTCTTTGTGGCTTTAACATTCGGTCTCTCAAAATGACATGAATTGCTTTTAAGATATGACTTCTTTACTCTTGTCAGGAACACAAAAAAAGATTTGCTGTCTTTCTTTTCCTGTAGATAATGTCTGTTTGCATTTCTAGCAGGTTAAGGTGCCTGTCCATTTTGTCCCATAACTTTTATTTAAAACAATAATCAATGTTTTCTTTTCCTGGTGCCTGACGTTTGATTGGCATTTGCAAAAATAACAATTCTGGCCTTGTGCTGCAGATATTGGGTCAAGCCAGCAAGCCACCGCTGAAGAATCTCTAACCTGCATAACAGTGGAAGTGATAAGCTTTTCCTGCGATTATCATGTTTCATTGTGCTGGCTCTTTCCCTGCGGCGCGCACATGCTACTGACGGTGCTGCTTGTCGCTTGGTGGCAGAGCTGTGTAACAGAAGTCAGCCACAAGATTAGCGGCCTGTTCCGCTGTCCAAGGAGAGAGACGTGACAGAGAAAATACTTTCTGGAAAATCAACGTTTGAAAATGGAATGATGGTCCCTGTTTCTTTTTGACCTCATTACGTTAATCTACACAAATTAATGTTTGCATCTCATTTCCGTTTCATCTCGTTTCTATTTACCCAGTGCCCTAGAGACTGAGGGAATCTTTCCTCTCTGATACGTCCCTTTCAGCAGGTTCTGAGATCGTACTTTTGATGCAGCAGGATGCTTTTTTCATCTTTAGTTGTCTGGAATACTGGAATCATAATTAGGCCTACAGTAAAGTGTGGCTTTTTTTTTATTTGTCTTGTATTGTGCTAGCTGCCTCACGTTCTTCTTATCCAGCCAATAAAAAACAGAACATTTGTAATGTTTAAGGCCACTTTTTTGTTTGTTGTATCTTATTTGTTAATAAAACATACGTGGGGCTGCAAAACTTCAAAAAAACATTTGTTTAACTTTATGGTACAAAAGCAAATTCTGAGTGCCATCTCTACGTTTCCAGCTTCTTTGCTCAACCCGCTCATCACTGGCAAAGAGCAAAAAAAAAAAAAAGCAGTCGGCATTCATCTCTATAATGGAATAGTGTGGAGTTTTTCTGACATTTAAGTCAGAATTGTCTGTTCCCAGGCAAATGCACTTTTTAAATTTTGCCTTTTCAAGCCTCATCAATTTAAAAAAAAACGAGTTGGCTTCATATGCTTATGTATACGTGTGTATCTCAGAATATCTAAACATATAATTAGTTATCAGTGAGAATGTTATTCTGCTGCAAATCCTGGTGCTTAGGGTTTGAATTGGCTCCGTTTTGTTTTGAAACAGGTGGGTAACAGTTTGTGGATCTCTCTGTGCCGTGACTGGCGAAGGTAACTTCATGTAACCTTTCCAGATGCCGACGGATTCGTCCTCTCGGTGAACCAGAGATTGAAGCTGACCCCCCCCCGGTATCTTTCCGGGTTTACATTTTCCACAAATAAAAGCTGCCGGGTAAACAATCCTGTTGACCGCCTTAATAAATCTGAGAAAAAACAACAACGACGATTTCCTTCGGCAGAGAAAAGGTGAAAATCCAGGCAGACCAAAATATTTTTGAAGGGATACAATCTAATCTTAATGGCATTTGAAGAGGCAGACAGCTTTTTGTTATGAGCTGTATAGACCAGGACCCACACATGCTGACATTCTCTTCGGATTTTACAGGGGTGTTAAATCTCTTTTTGTCAGTGTTGTTATGTTTTGTGACACTTTTTTGATATTTTTATAATAATTCTTTGGGCGGATTTTGTTTCCCAAGATATTATCTTTGTGCATGCGCAGACAATTTTAAAACTCAGCTCTGAAAGGCTGCTGCTGAGATATTTACTATTTGAGTGAATGACTTAGCCCTCAAGTACTGTTTGCAAGCTGACTATAGCATTTTGTTTGGGTGAATTAAAATACAGTAATTATTTAAATGTTAGTCTTATTACATTTAAATTGGAGTCCTGCAGGGCACTCGAATCTGTGGTGGACTTTACTGACACAGTTCAGTTCTGCGTACAGATACAACACTTTAAAGGTGCTGGGGGGGATTCTTTTTGTCTCGCCATTTTGAAAAGTTTCCAAACCAAAACATTTTGAAAATGCTTCGCCCGGGCTGGGCAAAATCAGATCTAACCATTTTTGTCCAGGTTTCTGCATTGTTCTTTTTCCCCTGTTTTACAGTGGGGGTAAATAAAAAAAAATAAGTTTCAATCGACACTCAGTGCTGTGTATTCCAGCAGAATAAACTGCAGCCCCTTTTCTTATGACACAGCTCGTGCAATGTCTGTTTCACTTCCTCTTTCCTTCTTATACGGACGAATTCTTGGATAGAATGTCAATGAAGTGAAAAGTGAGCTCGGCGGTAGCAACAGTTCTACAACGCAGAAAATAAAAGCTTAGGCATTGGTAGAGGAAAGAGTCTTTATTGCCGAGGACAGGATAAGTACTGTGTGTCCCATGTGACCTGTCACCTCTTCGCGGTGGCCAGCATTCTGTTTGCAGGTCAGTGGCTTGACGTTGTGCCGGAGCACTGACGTAGCGTGTTGCTTGATGTGTCCTGGCTCATCCCTCCGATCTCTCAGCTCTGACGGAGGGATCATTCCTC